CAGAGGGGTAGCTGCTGGGAGGAGGGAGGATTTTCATCAATAGGGGCATGATGGGAACACTTGATACTGAAAGTGCTCAGGCTGTGGGATTGTCTGCTTTTCATATGATTAACCTGTTTGAGCTCCAACTTGTCTTTTTCTGCGCTAGACACAAGTCTACCTTTTGAGAATTAAAATGTAGGTTTATTTTTTATAGAGCTGGTCCACACAACCTTTCTCATGGCATGCTCATGTCTAAAGGTAGCTGCTATATGGACAGGGTGGTGGGTACCATTCCTGAGATGATCTGTCACCATGTCTTGTATGTTTGCCCTTTTTGTGGTCCAGTAGGATGGTTGATGATGGGCCAGTTCCATGGTGCTTCCTACACAGGCCTACGTGTTGTATACTAGAAGGATTTGTGAGCAGCTTGAAGAGCACCTACATCTCTTCAAGCCATGTCTGCATATCACTGATTCTTATAAATGATTAGTGATGAGCTACAGAGTGAGTAAGCTTTAAGAGCTGAGGTATTAGGGATCTGTAGACCGCTTATAATGCGGTGACCTGCCTGCGGTTTGCTGCAGTCTCTGCCTTGGTGTAGATGATACATTAATTCTTCGCAGAATACTACTGAAGTCCTCCTGCTGGAATTGCTGTTCAGCCACTGAAAGCAAGAATTCCTAGTCCTTCTGTGTGTGTAGGCAGATGTAGTCAAGGTAGGGAATGATCCTGAGGATAATGTAAGCCAACGGTTTAATAGACTTTAAGACTGAAATTAATTTGTATTAAACTGGAATTGCTTAACCTGAGATGTTGCCCTGCATTTCAAACATCCTCAGACTTGATATTTTCAAGCCACTGTGACAAACCTGAAGATTTGCTTTGTTTTCTCGGTAAGAGAAAGCAACGATTGCAAGCAGTTTTCATACAGCAGTGTAAAAAGCACTAGGAACTTATTTGTGTAGCAGTTGTCACCACCCATACCTCGGAGAAATGCAGGGATCTTTCAGATGGCGACTATGTAATTGCTTCCACATACCCCAGAGGGAAGTTCCTTTCTGCAATCCCATGTACTGTAAGCTCTCCCACCCTTTCCCCCAGGTGCATGAGATCACAAGTCTTGCAAACTACACAGCAAGGGAGATGTCCCCGTAATCCGAAGCTGAGGAGTCACTAGATGGAAAATTCAGGTCCTGCTCTACATGGAAAAGCTGGTGCTTGTTGGGCAGGTGTTTTAGCCTCATTTTCTCACCATCCCCAGATGGTGTTGCACTGGTTCACCAGGGTGGAGGGAGGGAACTGAGCAGAAAGTCTACCCTGTGCTGCGTTTTTTTTTCCCATTATCTGTCGTCTGCGGCCCCTACTCCCCTTGCCCTGCTTTCTACCTTTCTGGCTTGACCTTTGTGAGCTTGCTGGATGTATTCCCTGCAGAGCCGGGGTGGTTTCTCTGCCTTTCTAAAAATGTTCTGTTCTTTGTGCTGGTGAGTAAACAGAAGAACAGAGCTGAACTCGTGATGTATTTCTTGTGTTAGGAGGGAAACAGAGGAAGGAAACAACTAAATTGGAGTTACAAGCTTATAATTTATCTTTCAGAAAGTACACCGGATACAAGTTAATGCATTTACAATAAAAAAACAGAGGTGGTAAGGGAAATGTCAAGGAGCCTTAACAGGCAGGTGCTTCTGCTAGGCTCGCCTGCTGTTTCTCACTGTAAGGCTTGACTTCCAGTCATTTATAATGCTGCCAAATTTTCTTTCCATTCCTGATGCCTCACCTGAGGTTTTTTGTTTTAATTTTTGGCCACGCATCAGGTTGTTCCCGAGGGGCGAGGGAACAGTTTGCCGTGCTTTCAAAGGCTGAAACAGCCCTTTGTTTGAGCAGCTCAAGTGTCTCCATCCTTGGGTCGGGGACTTGACACTTAGGAGAGTGAGGGCCTTTGTGGCAAGAAAACACCTTCAGAAAAATCTGCCTGAATCACAGATCATGGATTCACGGTAGCTGGTCAAATCAAAATTTATGGCCTGTATGTTTTGTGATGAGTACCATTCATCACAAAACGGGGGGGCTTGGGAATTGTCTGGTAACTGCGTGCGCAGGTGTGGGTGCTGGGAAGAGAGGGAAGTTGAGCAAGGCCGCACTGGCAAACAGACCTGTTTCCAGTGTTTACTTGTTCTTGAATACGTAGCCTTGTTGTCTTCACCGTGTTCTCGGCTTTGTTGTCTTCCTAGTGTTCCCAGCTCTGTCGTACACGACGTCTCGGTTTGGTTTGTTGCTTCCTGCCTACCACTTGCCGGAGCTGGATCGCAGACTCAGTCGCCAGCCCTTCGCGACGAGGTGCTGCCGTCAGGATAACAGATCTTTTTCCCACAGTGACTGTTTCAAAGTCCCTTTCCTTCAGAGCACCTGAAGTAATAAACATAAACCTAGGAACAGCTGAATGTGAGGGGGGAACTGTTGTGTTACCTTCCTGATATTTTCCTGGTAACAAGTTGGAGTTCTCCTTTACCTCTTACGTTTTTCTCCATGCTCTCCTGTCTCACATCCTGCTGTACGACATGTTAACGACTTTGGGGGCAAGGAGGGTCAAATTTTGACTTAGGAGTTGACAGATTATGTATTTCTGAGCAACATAAAACTCAGTAAAAGGTTCAGAACAAAGCATTTAATATTTTTAGGCAACCTGGCAAGAGTGTTAATGGCTTGAAGTCAGGTGCTCAAGACTTTGCCGCTGAGTCTCTTCTAGCCAGCACTGGGAAATGGTGGCTTTTATTTCTGAGCCTGGAAAGGAGCCTTCTTCTGAATCAAAAAAAAGGCTGGCTAAGGACACCTTTCGGGCTATCTTGGAGATGTGTTTTCCTTTGTCAGCTCTTCCACTTCAGTAACACTTGTCTTTGATATTAGGCTCTGCCGAATGTCAGGTGCTGAGGCAGGTGATGAACACTCAGTGTGGATCTGGTGTCCGGATCTTTTCCAGGCCCCCAGCTGAGCCTGTCCTTCCCTGTGCCCTGAAAAGAAGTCTGATTGTTCTGTTGGAGGCTTTAATTTTATTCCTGTTATACAACAATGTCAGTAGGTTCTGGAAATGTGATGCAGACCTTGTATTGTTCTGCGGGATCTGAGATTGTGCTTTGTGCTGAGGAAGTATGCAGAAATTGCAGGGCTCTTGGGGACTTCCACTGATTATGGGAAACAGCTCTTCTAGAGTCTTAAAACTTCCAAACACAAACTGTTTGGGAAAAGTCACAGCACCTTTGGGACTCCACTCATTCACGTTGAGCTGTATGACCCGAGGAGTTTGGTTTGTTACCTGGTAATTGTGGAAGGTGGTTGCTATTAGCATTTTATTTTGCTCAGTGACTGAACATTAAAATGGTGGGAAGTTGTAATGGGGTACACGAAAATGCTTAAAAGCAATCTAGATCCTTTTCTTCCTCTTGCCCTTCAAATCAAGAAAGAGAAGGAAGAAGGGAGGCTTTAGTAAATCATGGAAATTTACTGTAGTGGTAAGCATATCCCTAATATAATGCCCCGTTTGTCTGCAAGCATTATTCAGGCTTACAAGGCAAGCACTCGGATGTTGTTTATCAGTGTTATCCTAACCCGGAGGCAAGAGTTAAGTAACATGCACTGAACGTGGGCAGTGAGGAGGGTGGCTTTTCAAATACTCCTGTGTTAAAATGACTTATTTTCTGCTTTTGAAAGGAAGTGTTGACGTTTCTTTGCACTTCTGATTATTTTTTTCCCTAAATATCTGGTCTGTAAACCTGAGAGATGTACAGCTCTTAAAGGAGAGGAGATGGACTGTAAGTCATGTTTAAATTTGCAGTCTTAAAGATCAGCTTTAGATGCCACATCCGGATGCTTGTAATTTTCATTCTCCTTGACATCCCCCTGTTATTATGCTATCAGCATAATCCTATAAAGCAAAGCAGGTACTTTCGTATGATTCAGCAGTTTCGAATACAGGATCCTAAAATTGTGTTGTGTTGATTTTATTTTATATTTTTAAGGTACAATGATGACAAATCAATACATAATATTTCCCAGAACTTCACACAGCAGAGCCGGCAGGCCTTGCCGTAAAATTAATATCTGCAATCAAAGTGCAGCAGAGAGACTAAATACAACAAAATCTACAAGAAAAAAACAAAGTCAGGTCTGTCTGCCTTGTATTTGCCTGTCGTTTTCGTTTTGATTGCGATTGGCCGGCAAGGTCTGCTGCTGGCATTACACAATTGGCTTAGATGGGAAATTACAAAACAGGAGCAGATCCCTTTATTTGTACTCGGTAGCACATGCAGCTGAGCACAGGCGAGCAAGAAAGGTCACCCGTACGCCAGGATTTGAGTGCTCTCTCTCACAGATGTTTCCATTTCAGAGAAGGGCAGCTTATCTCGTTTTTAGGATCTGTGACTTTGAGTTTTTAAACGCCACAGGGATTTCTTGCTTTGGTGAATGTCAAAATGTACCTGAAATCAAGTTTGTAGCCTGGAAGCAAGAGAGCATTTCAGATGCACAGAGCCATATCGTGGAATGATCAGAAAGCCCTGCGTTTTTAAAGGATTTTAAATATTAGTAAGGAGGAAGACAAGCCAAAGAGAAGGCTGAAAGCAGATGCAAAAGGAAAATGACTTTGTTGTTGAAAACAGCATGAAGCAGGGATTATATCGGCACCAAAACAATGGAGAACCAAAGGGTGTTGTTTTCATCTGAAATAATATCTGCACAAGACATGTGAAAACTACCTTTCATGGAAAAAGAACAATTCATGATTTGAATATGGTTTGAAGCCCTGTGGGACATTGTTGGGACTGCTGCATCTTTCCAATGGTGTGTAGTATATGTTCATCTAAATACCTTAAATAAAGAAGATTCTGCACAAAAGGGTCAAGCTGCCTTTTTTTTTTTTTTTCTTTTAACTAGCTTATAACTCTGCTTTTTGAATGAGCGAACCAGAGGAGTTTCATTTGTATTTTTAACTGAATTTTTTTTTTCCTTCTTTCCTCCTCCAAACTTAGTTTGCGAGATGCTGGGATTGGATTTATCCTTGTCATAGACCGCAGACAGGACAAATGGACCTCTGTGAAAGCTTCCATACTGCGGATAACAGTGAGTACTGTTTAACATTAACTCCTTAAAAAGCTTTCCCATGTTGAACCTTCCTCTTATAAATAGAAAAGCAGCAAAAGCTTTTTCTTCAGCAAAACGTTAGCTGGTTTATGACACACAAAGTATGCAGTTCTTTTGTGTCCCACCTGAGTGGGGCCAAGCATCGCGTGTCCTCGTCATGCTTTTGATGCAGTTTGCAGCTCATAACATCAGCCTGAGAGGGCACCTGGAGAGCACGCGCTTGTGCGCAGTGTATGGCTCTCCCAGGTGGGAGCTGGTCCTTGCGTGGGCTGCCTGTGCATCTTGCTGAGCTTCGGATCTGCTTCTCACTGGCTGAGAATTTGGGACCTGATTTAGTTTACCTCTTGTCCAAGAAAATCAGGTTTAAAAGATTAAAAGATGGTCTTGTGATGTTTGAATAAAAACAAGGGTTACCTTTAAGCCAAAATACCTCAAATACACTCCTCCATCAATCTATAACCTCACACTGCTACTTTCAATCTCCATTTTAATAACTATTTTTGAATATAAAACTAAATCTTAAAGTTGTTTTTCTTCCATAAGTAGGAAAACACCTTTGTATTTATCAAGTGCTCAAGTGGTTGTAATACTGCTTTTTTTTTTTTTTTCTTTTTGGCCTGGCATGAATCGTTAGTATTTATAATCTTTCCAGTAAGTGCTGACAGAGCTGTAAGATTTTCTTTTTATTGCTTCATCATTTCAAAATTCTAGCTTCATCACATCAGTTCAATTTTTGTTTGGCCCCATTTTGACCAAAGAATTGTTTGTTTATTGCAAGTTAAAAGGTGCTTATTTAAAGGTACTTTAAGGTAAAGGTACTTCCTACTTAGTACTTACTACTAAAGGTACTTCCACTATATAACTTCTGTAAATGAATTTGTAATGATGTATTATACCTACAAAGCAACTTTTCCCATGATAAATGTTTTAGGGATGTTAAAGCATTGAAAATATACAGAAATATTATCAAAATTCACTTTTGCAACTGACTTTGAATTTCTGAGATGTAGCGTTGAGCAGATTCCAACAGAGCAAGCCAAGAACAGCTTATTTTGGGGTTATTAAAGAAAAAGGATTGTATCTCTAGAGTCTGTGAATTGCTTTCCTCCAATGGGCACTGTTTTGCCTAGAAGCTCAGTGTGCAGAACCTGACTGTAATTGTAGTAACTGTTGGTGCCTAATGCTTTTGCCTGGAGGAAGGGTCTTAAGTGCAGAGTGCATTGATGGTTGCAGTGCTTTTGATGATGGGTCACTTCTCTTTTTTCTCATTCTTTTGTGAGCTTTATTTAAAAGATAAATCATTATTCCTAACTGAATTCCTAATTATTCTATTAGGTGAATTGTCTTTTCCTACATTTGCTTCTTTTACTGAACTTGCTCAGCTTTGGGTGTGTATTTCATCTGTGGATGCATGTGGCAGTACTCCTGTTGGGTTTCACAATAATCACATCATCCTTTAACGCTTTTGAAGTTTTACTCTCCCGTTCCAAAAAAAAGATATAGTGACAAGTCCTTATCTGCCACTGTCCACTGTATCTTTACTATAGTGTTTGCTGTAAGTGGATTCTAAGTAGGTGTCCGCTGTCCATTCATTAAAAAAAAGAAAGAAAGAAAAAAAAAAAACATAACGCAAAGCTTGCGCCAAAGTCATGAGGGTTTCTCTGAGTTTTGCTGACAATTATTTTAAATGCCTCAAGGATAACTAGAGGCTTAACTTCTATTTGTTTGTCTATCCTATACATCAGATAATCAGATGCTTGATCACCAGAAGAGATTGGGGCTGTTCAGAAAACACTTTATATCTGAAAACCTGGTATCTCTAGAAAATTTGACTGCTTAAGCTTATTGCTGTGTGTGAAGTTATTAATCTCACCGTATTTGAGAAGAGAGTTTAAGATGTTGGCTCATTTGTACTAGCTCCTGCAACATCTACCCTGCCATCTTTCCTTATTTTTCTCTGATCACCCCTAGGGAACTGACCCTTTTGATCAGAGATGCTAGCAGAGGGTGCAGTGGCTGGAGCATTGCCCAACAGGACTATCCTGTCTAGAGCATCTGTCTGTCACTGATATCCTAGCAACTTTAAAAAAATATATTTGTAAGCACTGAGCAGCTGCTAAACAAAAATTCTTACTCGTGTGTGTTTTTGTTTTGTGAAGAGTTTTGACTATAAAATAAAACACAAATGTGTGTGTGCGTGAATCACACACACACTGGTAAATACTAGTAGGTGTTGGAAGTATGCTTTGAAACAAAGCTAATGAAGAAAGAATTGTTGTTGTTGTTCCAACCTGAAATTAATGTGAAAAATCTTTCTCTTGCTGTGGAAATAAGGCATAGCTTCTGAATGAGACTGTAAGGAGGAGGAGTCACGTAACCTGGTAAAATGGTTCCATATTGTCCAATCTGCAGATGGGTGAATGATAAACGCCTGATAAACAGATCTCCTTTTCATGTGGTCATAAATGACCCTCCCCAAGCCTACCACCCTTCTTCTTTCTCTCCTAATACTATCAGACCCAAGAAAGCATTATTTAGTTCAGAGAGTAAGAGCAAAGCACAACACTAATCAATGTGTTTTGGGGTTTCATGCTGCTCTGTTCATATTCCAGTGTGCTTCTTAAAACAAAAACGGTAACAAAAAACTATGGCTTTATTTTGTCTGCATCTGTTGTTGTGCTGCCTTCACTGTCTTCCTCTATCTTAAGGTTGAAGTGTGAGCTCAACCCTTTGGACAAACAAAATGCACATTCAGCATCATTAAAAGTTTCGCTCACAACCATCCATCAGGCACAGATTGAAAGTCTAGAGGAAATAAACTTCCTTACACATGCAGTTTAGGGAGTAACATCTGTGTGGGCAGCAGCTCCTGAGGAAGCAGTTGGTATGAAGGTCACTCAGGTAGTGAGAAAGCGGTATCCAGTTGAGCAAGTTTGCAGCCCTTTCTAAATGTGACAAGACTTGGGCTTTATCCAGCCTGGTGTGGAAGTTTGCTTTGTGATTTGCTATCTTCAACATAAGGATGCACTGCGTGCAGGTTTCATGCTTTCTATTTTGGGCTGCATTGTCCAGAGCACAGTGTTTTTCTGGCTGCTCAAAACTCACAACACAGTGCTCACTGTAACAGAGGCCTAGCCCATTAATTGCTTTGAAGATTAGGGCCAAGACCTTAAGCTGGCAGGAGAAGACCAGAAGCCAAAGGAGAGACTGAAGTGCTAATACCAGCCTAAACCTTGCAGGAGCCAGACAGTCCTGTTTTTGTGCCATCTGGAGTCTTATCGTTGGTTTGACATCCAAGGTGAGAAACAGTGAATTACAGTAATCCAACGTTGAGCTATTTGGCCTTGTTTGTGGAGAGAGAGGTTGAGTCTCTTAGGGAGCTGATGATGTAGGATAGATACATTTCATAACCAATGCTCCATAGTCAACAAAGGCATTATTTTATGTTATGGACAGGATTTCCTGCTAGCCCAGTATCTTGCTAGCTCTTTGCATCATGTCCTGAAAACTATAATGATAGTAACAGTTTGTATGGGTTATGTTTGAGAAAACTGTTATTCTTTCAGCCCCCAGTCAAGTTACTTATCAAAGGCATTTTTTCTGAGGTTCAAAACAAACTCTTGACAGGATGATTATGCTATAACACTATTTGTATGAATTGTGTAGCTGTTGTTCTGAGTGGTTCTAATAAATGATAAAGCAAAACAGTTATTTGGAGATGCTGTATGCTTTTGTCTTTATTGCAATGAATGTTTTGTGAAAGTGCCTGAACATATTTTGTTTTCAGTTCTCCTGGTATAGTCTGCTTTTTTTTTTTTTTTTTTTTTTTATTACATGTGTTTTTAATACAAAAAAAAAAAAAAGTAGAGACTTAAACTCTGAAAAGAGACTTGAGAAGAGACTTAAACTCTGAAAGCAGGGTCATAATATCACAAGTAGTAATATCACCTAATGCAAAACAGCTCAGTGTTTTTAAAACTAGAGTTCAACCTGGTCTTTTTATGAATTTTTTTTGATTCTTCCTTGACGAGAAGCCTGTGTGAAAGCCTTCATTCTAACCAGGAATAAACAGTTTAAAAAAAAAAAAAAAGGTGGGGGGGGGGACACCCCTACTTATTAGCTCCTTTATACACAGAAGTAGAAGTATTTTGGAAAGAAGTGTCTTGTGGCTTATGGCATACCAGTGAGCGAAGAGGAAAAACACCACCACAAGGGTTGGTAATGTGGGCATATTGAGGCAGTTCATAAGGTGCAAAACAGCGCTGTTCCATGTATTTTAAGACAGAACAACTGAAGCTGAGTTAAGCATTAGCTCTTTGGTGGCTCACGCTTTTCAGATAAGATTTCTGAAAGCTGGCTGTTTACCTAGGAAGGGGAAGAGAAAGAGGCTTGGATTAGCTGTTTATCTGAGCAGTTTTCCTTTGCTGTGTAGGAGTATAAAATGTTCCTGAGTACTGAGGCAGGCAAGTGAATTGCTCTGTGGGATTGAACAGCAGCAACTTCACCGACAGAGATGCAGTTAAAATAATGTATGTATCTCTGTATGTAATTCCTCTGGATAATAAATAAGCCCTAGGCACCACAGGAGGAAACTCAAGATGTGAAAACTCAAAGGTGTTGGTTGTCCTTTCCAAAAGCTGCCCCCCGGTGTATGCTGCTGAAAGCTGCAGTGACTGACACCTGGCTGTAGGCCCAGGCCACCATGCCATTCGGCCTACACGCAGGCAGCTTTTCCCTAGAACCAAGGAGGATTTTGGTAGCACCACATCCTATTTCACTGCCTGCCTGCCCCCACTCTGTGGTAAAATATGCAATTCAGTGAGATTATTCCTCCTTGAAAAGTGCCATCTGCCCACTCGTTGGTGCAACCTGACTGCTGGGGGTAAGATGGCGGAGCGCCTTCAGCAGCTCCCTGGTGGGAGCTCCTCTACCAGCAGGGTCAGTGCTGGTGCCACAGGCAGATGATGTATCATTAATTTTCTGAGAAGGAAAATGGTGATCAAGATTATATGCACCTAAATTTTACTGTTAAGGCAGCTCCTGTTTTGCTCAGCGAGTGTAGGTTCTTTGCATGTTTCAGTTTGGGGTGGTCTTAAGGCAGCAAAGATCTCCTGTATTGGGAAGTTTTGCTTTAGGAGTTGTGCTGTTTGTAAATTCCCAATCTGTTTGGATTGATTTCAAGTCTGATGATCACATGTGTCTATATCTTCTTTATCTTTGGCATCAGCACTTGCATGCCTGGATGTGGAAGTGATGTAGAGAGATGAACAAAGTTAGTCCCACAAAGTGTTGCGAAGCATTAAACAAGTGCCAGCACTGATGCAAGCAAGATAAAGGGATATATGGGCCAGGCTAGGATAGAATAGGTACTATGCTAATTTAAGTAGAGGATACTAAAAATATGACAGTGTTTGGGAGTGTTTTGTTTTTTTTCTGTTTGTTTGCTTCCCTGGTCTCTTTTGCATAGGCATTAAGCTAAAGTACAATAGTTGTGACAAGATAACAGGGGAGCAGTTAATTAGTCCAGTAAAGAAAGATGCTTTTGGAAAAAATGTTTTCAGGCTTCTTGAGGACGCAGCAAGATTCAGTGACTTTGCTAAAACAATCCTCGAAGGCGCTTTATTTTACAACACTGCTAAATGCACATAAATATTTATTTCTGTGTGTAACGCTTGGTGCAATGCCATTGAGAAGTCATTGTTTGCTGTGTCTGCTTAGGATACAATGGTTTCAAACAAGCTTGATGCTGGACTGGAACGGTGTTTTTTTTGTTCTCTCTTGTTCAGGCTTAAGTTGAAGGTTGATGAAGTTCAAATCCATCTCAGGAGTGTCTGTTGCATCATATCATTGTCTCTGGAAGTCACCAGAGCTTTTGGGAGGGGAGAAAGGGTGCAAAGAACAGGAAAGCAGTGATATTTGGGCAGTGAAGATATAAGCTCAGATAAACGGGAATAGCTGGTGCTCGTCCAACATTGTTTACTGTGGCAATCCTCCCTTTTTTGGTTGTTGTTTCACAAAGTGATTTGTGGATTTGACTCCTAGCCATGCTCAACAGTCAGTAACATTTATTACTGCTTTTTATTTGGTCGAAAAAACAAAACCAAGTGGGAAACATAGGAGTCAGGCTAGGGGAGGCAAGAACAGCATTGTCGACAAAGTTAGAATAATTGAAAATTTCAGCTTTTGCTGAAAGAGAAAGGAAACTCTTCACGTCTTTAATGGGAACTATTCTGAGTGGTGCACAACTGCAGTGATCTCAGCAGCATTGTTTAGGTAGGCACACTGAGATGGAGAGTAATTGTAACGTGTGTATATGAACAAGAAGACCCTAGTTTATTTAGTCGTACAACTAAACTCTGTATTTCATAAAAGCTAATATACAAATTAGAAAAGCTTACTCTTGCTTTGCAGTTGGTTGCTGCTGTTTGCATCATTAACAGTCAAAATATTTGCTATAAAATTGTGGCTTTGAAGTCTAGACTACAGTCAAAAAGTATAAACCTGAGAATTTAAAGTTAGAATGAAGAAATTCATCACTCACACATGTAACTAAAATTTTGCGTTTGCTGTTTAAAGTTGTGTTTTGAAACTTCACAATTTCACACTTCTATATTTCTGATGTATCTACTAAACTCAAAGCAAATTCCTATTATTTTTTCAAAATGTGTAATCTAAAAGATGTTTCTTCATGGAGCTTTTTATTCTGAAACGCTGGTATTACCACTGAATAAATTTCATTTTTTGGAAATCGGAGCTGAAAAACAGCTCAGTGAGAGTCTGCATACTACTGTTATAGGCACAAAATAAATTGATGCAAGTCTAAATGAATAGACTATAAAATTATCATTCTAAAAATATTATTCGAGAGTTTAATTTTTTTTAAAAATGGTCTATTGCAGCGTTTCTTAGTATGAGTTAAATCACTTGCCTAAATTGTGGTCATCTTTGTTACAATAACTTAGATCATTTGTTTACTGTTTTTCTTAATTTTTTTCATCTGAATAGAGTCAGGAATTTTCTATAAAAGGTCTGTCCTCTGTTTCATAACTGTGAGTTAATAAGTCCACAGAGAAAGATTGCTTGCAGTGCAGGGATGGAAAGCTCGTGTGGGCGAACAGAAGTGTACCTGGATTCCATCCCCAGCCCTCTGACAGACTCCGCTGGGACTGAATCACTGGACTTTCTAGAAAACTTTGGCCATCATTTGAGTGGAGGCAGATTGTAAAGCACAAGTCTTTTAAGGATCCTAATCAATTTGAGATCTCTGAATACCTTGGGAACCACAATGAATCTGTGAAATCTTTCAGAAAAGTTTTTAACTATTTTCCTCTTTAAAAGTTTATAATTTCCAATGCTAAAAACTTGGAAGCCTGAAAAATGTGTATTAAACCAGTCTATAGCCATCCAGCTGCTAACGATTTCACTAGGCACAAAATGGACCATAGCATTGCAGCTTCTTGAGTCAATGTATGTTTGTATGTTTGTTTTTGTTTGGCAGTCTTTTTTTGTCCCTTTTTTTTTTTTTTGTAATTGCTAGAAATACGACAGTTTTCAATGTTGCATAGGGGAGAAGACTTGTGTGATTTCAAGAATGGCTAAGTGCTATGTATGTGAATTTCTGCCACAGCAGAGGTTAATTTTTGGTATTTTAATGCAGTTTCTTTGCTTTCTTTCCCCTCTCTTCTGTGTTCTCTTTATCATTTCTAGAACTGGGGAAGATCCATTAGGCTACAAGCTGTAAGATGATGAGAAAAGAACAGATGAGGATTGTTGTGGGTTTTTGCCTGCAAAATGCAAGCTAACTTCTTCTAAGCTACTGCCTAAGAAATTCAGTCTTGGTGGCAATAGTTTGTGTGGGCAACTAGCAAGGCAGTATATGCACAAACAAGAAATTTGTTTTTACATATTCAGATAATAATGGAGGTTTCTCTTGGCACGCTCTATTAAAGAAAAGATAAGGTAACCATGAAAGTACTGTTAAAAAAAGTACTAAGCCATCTCTGTTCATTAGCCTCCTTGTCTATGATGTAATCTTAACTGGAGAGCGATATGAGCCAGCTCTGAAAAATTTGATTCCAGAAGAATAGATTCCTGTTCCCAAAGATGCATAAATGTCTCTTTGAATGAAGCTCTCTATGCGAGCCTTGTTAGGTTTACAATTGGTCACCCCATTATGGAACTCTTTGATACAGTTAGTTTGTGGTTCAACAGAGGCTTCTCCTTGTTCAAAAATATTTTCTGAGCTGAGACACCAGAAAATAACAGATTAAACTTGTTTTGCAGGCATCTTTCCCAGGGAACTTGCAACTAGTCCTCGTTCTGCGCCCAACAGGATTTTTTCATCGAGCTCTCTCAGACATTGCTTTCAAGTTCCACAAAGATGAGTTTAAAATGAAAGTACCTGTAAGTAATCCCCTATTTCCACTTTATTGTCAGGGATCTGTTAAAGTACTTACTCTAGCTAATGCTGTTTATATTTTAAAATAAACTTTGAAAATATATAAACTAAGGATATTCAAGTAAGTGGGGAGGCTGTTATCAGATATAAATTGCCAGGGTTAGAGCTAGTCAAGATAACTCCCCCACGGTTCTTATTTATTGTTTTAGAACCAGTCCTTATGTGCCAAATCCACTAAGATACTACTGTTTTCTCCCACAGACCCAGGAGAGCAAGGAAAATGAACAAGAAATGAATGAGATGCTGTTGCTCTTAGAAAATAGCCATATACAGTTTACCAAGATTCAAAAATAGTAATGATAATCTCGAGTCACCAACGTTATATAATTCATTTTTTTAAATATGTGCTGTTAAGCCTGGTGCTCATGCTTATTTGCAGTTATGTACATCATCTTCAGCTGAAACAAGTGTTAAGATCTTTTGTTTGCTTGCTTCTTATACCAAAGGGAAAGAGTTCCATCACTTGCTTCGGTATGAAACTGAAATTTCTGTATTAAAGGCTGAAGGATAGCTTAGAATCCTTGGTAAGGGGCTTGTGACCACTGATGGTGTTTGCTTTTTAATTTGCTGCTGCAGATCATAATGCTGGGCTCAGTATCAGAACTGCAGGGTTACATTGATAAAACACAATTAACAGAAGATCTTGGTGGCACCCTGGATTACTGCCATAACAGATGGCTATCCCGTCGCACTGTAAGTCTTAGTTGTTGTTTTAACTTTTCAGTTTAATCAGCCCTTCTGTTTCATACCCTGTCATTTATAAGACATATTCCAAGTGATGCAAGTTGACTTGCTCTGAGATGTTCCCAATGGTACTTAGTCATCTTAGGGAAATAATATGAGTAATAATTTGGGAGTGGTTTTCTGACTGCTCGAAGTGAAGGAACTACAGTATATTGTTGTGTTGAGGTTTGTTGTTTTTGCTACAAGAAAGAAAAAGCTCAAGTTGTAAAATAACTCCAGATTATAAAAATATGAGGAAGATATACCTGATACAAGCCTAGGAAAACATACAATTAAGGAATTAATGGTGACGGTATCTGTTGCTTACAAAATTATGCTTAGACCATTTTTCAATCTTGTAATTCATCTGCTCGGGTTTGTTTTACAAATTGTATGTATGTGTCTGTTTGTACATGTGCATGGGATGAGCATGAAACATCTTTAATGGTTTTTATTCCAAAAGGCTATAGAAGGTTTCGCCCAAAAGGTTAAGCAAACAGCTCAGATTCTTCAGTCCTTTGGGACTGAGCTGGCTGAAACAGAACTACCAAACGATGTGCAATCAACCAGCTCCCTTCTTGCAACACACACAGAAAAGAAGGACAAAATGAAGGTATGTAAATCTTGTTAAGATGCTGTGTTCTAGTTAAATTGTGATTTAATGTATGGCTAACAATGTTAATAGAAAACCTGGAGGGTATTTGAAGTTAATTGACAATGATTATGTCAAACACTGAAATCTTACTGAAATTGTTTTTCTTGGTTTGAAGTTAAGAATCTTCTTATTACTTTCAAAAAGGACAGTTCTTGTGGCTAGTTTTTGTACTTATGTACAAATGCGTAGGAATTTGTTTCTATATATAAATCATTGTGTATGTAGAGGCGAGTTTAATTTGTAGTTTTCTTTGCAACAATAAATTTTATTGCATTTGAATGCACAGAACCTTTTGAAGAACGGACAAATATTCTTTGAAATCGTCTTAAATTAAAACTGTTTGGGGGTTTCAAAACTGCACATCTAAAGTTTGTGAGATATTTGTAGCATAAGGAGACATGAGAATGCTGTGTGTCAAGAAAATTCAGCTCGGTGTAATATTGTCTGAAGACCCACAAGCGTACAAAAAGCTGACATTTAACATCTAGTGTCTTTATTCATTGTCAAACGCTGCTTTTAATCAAACGATGCTTGCTCTATTGTGATTAAAACAACGTATTTTTGCCAGTTTGTTGCCTTGTGGGGTCTGCTTTAAACAAAATATCAAAAAGCCAGTGATTACAGAATTCTTCAGTGTGATTTTCTGTTTGTTTATTTGTTCTTGTTTTATTTTTTAGGAGGATATAAGGTTAGCAGTAGAACAGGGAGATGATGTCCTTGGAAGTATTACAAAACCAGTTACTGAGAACCCTGAATACAAACTGAATCAAGACCAGCTAGACAATCAAACTACAGTAGAAAGGTGAGAAGAGTGGTATACCGAACAAGCTGCTTTTATGGGGTTTTGACCCTTAACTGCCTCTATTAATTCTATCTGCATGCTTAGGTAGTAAACAAACATTGCAGTGTGAATAGATAAAAGGTACTTTCAGAAGCAACTGTTCTGTTATCAGATCTGTCTTTAGCAAAGTAATCCCCCGATGCCCATTACTGAGTCAACCTGAAGGTAAGGAAATGGGCAACATGTTTTGGGGTTCAGTATGCACAACAGAGCAGTGTTTGATTTTGTGGGGTTTTATTGTTGTTTTTTGTTTGTTGGTTGGGGAGGGTCGGGGGAGGGCGTTCCTTTTTGTCAGGCTTGGACTATATAGTCGAGCATGTTTTCCTTAGTTTAAAGAATATTGGTGCTTTGTTTCAAAGACTGAAGTACAATCCAAGGAAATTTTGCTGTTGTAGGGAAAGCAGAAGACGACAGAATAATATATACCCAGTCTCTTCAGTAGATTTGTCCACTTTCATTAATTCCTTTTGAATTGAATTGGAAGGCTTCTTTTTCTTTGAACCTTCCTTAAGGAGCTTCTAAGATTGTTAATATCTTATCAATGTAGTTAGTAGTCTTTAAAGGGCTATTAGGGAGTGCTCTGCTTTTGAAGTATCTATGCACAAACTTCCTATATGCTTCCTTTGGGTATATAAGTAATAGCTGTTATTTTCCTTTGTTTCTCCCACTCCCCCTTAAATTACTGCCAGTTTTGAAGACATTATATCATCATCATAGCACAGATGTAAATTTAAACGAAGTTATAAAAACATAGCTCATTTCCCCAAGGCAGCATTTCGCATTCTTTTTTTGTCTGTCATTCTATGTTCTGTTACACTTGGACTGACTTTTCTTTCCAAGTAAGTGTCAATTCCAATGGACAAAGCTTGGCAGAAGTCACTTTTTCGGGTCATTGTAGCTATTAGCTATCTGAAGGATAATCAGGGTTGGGGTGGGGGTTGCTAATTTATCCAAAATGTTCCTACTTAATACGATAACTGACAGAAGTTGGAACAAACTGTTTATGTCTGACTATTTTCTAATGAGTTTAACTTTTAAATACAGGGCTCATTTCTGTGCTGTTAAAGAATAAAGTTCATTAAAAATCTGACCTACAGCCTTCCCTGGATGTAGTCTCAATACAGCAAAGTACACCAAGGAGATAAATCTGTAGCATACCACAATGTCAAATGCACAATTAGAAGACTGGTCAATTTCCTTAAGGCTCTTCAATCTGAATTATAATTCAAGAAGGTTCTTTTATTGTACTGATGTACAACTGTATGATATTGAAGTAGTATCTCTGCTCAGGAGAGAAGCAATGGCCTTCAGGTTTTTTATGAGCCTTGCTCCGAGGAATGAAATGTGAGGGCAGCTGGCTGGTCACAGCAATACAAAATTTTGGCAAAAATCTTCATTATAGCTCAAAGTTTTGGTCCCTTGGAGTCCTGGCCCATGTGTATTTGTAGGTTTTATTTATGTTTGCTTGCTCTGTGTCCCCAGGTCAGAGCTGAGAAGCAGTATATGCAGCAGCTACCTTCAGATCAGCACTTGCCAGTTTTTCAGTACTTAATGTTTGTGTTGGACTTCGGTTTTACATCAATGTTATTCTAGAAAACAATTCTGTGCAATGCTCAAAAAAAGTTTCCTGTATCCAGTTTATTTTTTCTGGAAAGTATTGCTTTGGGGAGACTTCTTGTTTAATGTGGAAGATTGTATTGTCCCTTGAAGGTTGTAACCATCATTCTTACAGGTTTGTTTTGTTGTTTTTTTTTTTAAGGCTTTTGGCTCAGTTACATGAAACGGAGACTGCCTTTGATGAGTTTTGGATTAAGCACCAGCAAAAACTTGAGCAGTGTCTGTGCCTTCGGAATTTTGAACAGAATTTTAGAGAGGTGAGAAATTCTTGGTGGCAGTCAATATTTGGTAATACAGGAGTGATTCAGAAGCAAATACTTCCCCTTCTTGTTTTTGCAGCTCATGTGTGTGTGCTTGAAAACTTTCTCCAACTTTTTTTCTTGTACATGTCCTTACTTGACATTCTGCTATCTTTACTACCTTGAATACTTGCCTATAGAGACATAATAGCTTCTCTTCTGCAGTGTTATTTTTTTCCACAAGCCCAGCAGTGTATAAGCATTCAAAAACTCCTTTGAAATCCATTCTCCACCACAGAAGCATAATATGCTGTCTGCGATGCTTTCATCTTGCCAATAGGTCCTTTTATGGAACCAAGACTTACCTAAACCTTCTGGCTGAAATTTTAGAAAACAGTCTCCAACACTGTGGGTGGGAAGTTGCAACCACAATGTTAGAAGCTGGGTGGAGACTGAACTAAAATTTTTACAGCCAGCTTCTGATCTCATGTTAGTTTAACTCGTGTTTAATGGCACCTACAGTCACTTTACTCTGGTGTTGAACTCAGAATATGCCCACTGTGTATCCACAGGATCAACATTCAGAAACCCTATCCCAAGTGTGTGCATACATATCTTTCTCTCAATTGGTATGGTGAGGACCTCACCCTTTGCTCTTTACATTAATGTCTCTGCACTATTTTCATCTATTAAAAGCAAGATGATAAATGTTTCTGAGCATTATTCTTCCTGAATTATTTTTTTTCACTAGTACCAGGAAACAAGATTACTTCACTGCCTTTTCTCTGTATTTGTTTTCATTTTAAGTTGAGGATAAAAGTAGGTTGACAAAAACCTAATTTGTGTTTGTGCCCCAGTAACCCCATAATGTGAATCACCTGATTGCGAACATTGGCTATCAGCTATTTAACTGATATGTCTCTGGAGAGGTGGAATCATCTTCATTGATACTTACATATATGTCGTTTCAGGTTAAAGCAGCTTTGGATGTTGTGTCCGAGAGACTGTCTGCTTTCACAGATGTGGGAAACAGCTGTTCACATGCGGAGCACATTTTGAAAGATCTTGTCAACTTTGAAGAAAAATCATGTGTAAGAACTGCACTTCTCCATATTTCTAGTATGACTCTGTGTGTGTGTCTGTGTGTAGGGGAATGTCATTTAGTTACTGAAAATATCATATGACCAGAGCTTAAGCTAACAGAAGGACAGAATTAGTGTCTAAAGTAATGTGCAGAAGGAATTTGGAGCAATGCTTTCAACCATTGGAATGGCCCAGTTCTCAGGCAACTCTTACTGAAGAGTGGAGTGACTAATCATAGAGTCGGTATGATTGTTTCATGGAAAAATTACATAAAATGTCTACATAGCCAAGTTCTGCACTTTATGATCAAGGGGACACTTCCACTCCTAATAAAACCACTTATTTCATTAAAACTCAAAAATGGGAAGGCTGTGTATTGAGTGTATGATATACAAAAACAAGATCGACAAAAATATGCTCTGAAAAATGTAAAAAGGAGACATTATTAACATATTATGATTTGGATTTCTTCTCGCTGGGGCTATATGGTTATACTAATTCATGTTTCTGAAGTGCTCTGATACAATGAAGCAGGAAGCATAAAAGTTCTTAGGCATTTGGAAAGACAGAAAATCACTTTGATTTATGAAGTCAGGCAGCTATTAATTTAAAATGTGTTCTGTATAAATGTGGGTTTGACTGCATAAAAAATAAATGGTATAACTTCTAATTTTTTTAATTGATGTCGATCCAAGGAAATATATACTGAAATCAATGCTTTCTTTCTTAGGAAACCATAGCAAAAGCCAGAATGCTAGCTTCAGAAGGTGACACTTTCATTCAAAGCAATCACTATGCTGTGGACTCCATTATTCCAAAATGCAGTGAACTTCATCATCTCTGTGATGCCTTCACTACTGAGATGGAACGAAGGAGGAATCTTCTTAACAAATCTCTAGAACTGCATAGCTTATTAGAAAAGGTAAATTTTCTGTGGAATGGTTTTGTTTCCTGTCTTGTTTGCAAAAACCTCTGCCCACCCATTGTCATAACAGGAGACTAAAAAATATATGGGTATACTGAAAGTTTTATCCTTAAATAGCTGAATACATCACAAGTAGAGGTGTGAAATGTCTTAGAGCTCTTAGTGTTTGAAGCTGACATCAATACATTCTGAGCCTTTTCTCTTCTCTGTTTCTAGTCTATGAAATGGTGCGATGAAGGAATTTATCTGCTGGCTTCACAGCCTGTAGATAAGTGTCAGTCTCAGGATGGTGCAGAATCAGCGTTACAAGAGATTGAGAAATTCCTGGACACTGGTGCAGGCAATAAAATCAAGGAGTTGAATAAAATTTACAGAGAGTATGCACAGATCCTCAATGAGGACCTAAAGGTACCAGAATATATTTATGTATATGTATGCATTCACTTGTTAATTTTAGAGTTGCTTTCTTAAAGAGCCATCAATAAAGCTAACCCTACTAGATGAGTTCGTGCTAATCATCAGAGCAAGTACTTACACCTGGGAACTGGAAAGCTGGCACATTTCCTTACTCAAGGTGGTAGTCATGTCCTACGTTTGGATAGGCATCAAGGGCTCCAGAGCCTATTAATAACAAATTCAAATTTTCAGACAGTAGGATTTTTAATTTTTTTATTAAAAAAAAAACACAACCTCCCAAATGAGTACTTGAGATATCTTCTTTATGTAGTTAAAACATGACTGTCCCTGATCCTTGCACAACTCATAGGAAAAAGCAGTTACAAAGCAGAACTTGAAAATAGAATCACAGAATGGTCAAGGTTGGAGGGGACCTCCAGAGATCATCTAGTCCAAGCCCTCTGCTCAAGCACAGTCACCTAGAGCATGTTTCACAGGATCACATCCAGGCTGGTTTTGAGTATCTCCAAAGAAGACAACTCCACAATCTCTCTGGGCAGCTTTTCTTTCTTGCTGATACCTTCTCATAACAGAACCATTAGATGCTTTCAAGAAAACTTTTCCCTGATTTTTTTTTTTTTTAATTTGAAACCTGAATCCCATTGGTTTCTCTACAGCAAGCAGAGAAATTATTTTGTGATGTTCCAGTTTTTAAGTGTACCAAATAACTGTAAATTATGCCTTGTTAGGAGTGAAGAGTATGGTAATATTTTTATATGCAGTATAAAAGCAATAGCCATTTCAAATCAATGTACCATAAATAGCTGTGTAGCTTGTTGATAGGTCTCTGACAGTGATTTTTTTTTCCTATGGCAATGGTAGGAGCATGTGCAAAAGGTTTTCCAGAAGCAAGAAAGCATGGAAGAAATGTTTCAAAAGAGACAAGTAAGTCTTAAGAAACTGGCAGCTAAGCAGACACGTCCTGTTCAGCCAGTTGCACCAAGACCCGAAGCCTTTGTAAAATCTCCTTGTACCTCTCCAGGTAAGCAACTGTAGTAGCCTTTAAGTATTTTTTTTTCACTGTGCCCAGAAACTAACAGCTGTAATTTGTGGTTGCACAAACATCTGTGTAAGATCCGCTCAAGTTCTAACTGCTGTTTGATTCTGGTTTACGTGCTTAGGTCTTCAAAGAGATTATGTATCCAACTCAGAAAGCGGTGTGCTTCGGAAGGTAAACTACAGAAGAGGAAAGGTAATTTTTTTTTCTCTGTGTTTTTCATGCGCATACTGCTTGAGAAAGTCATAACTCAATAGAATATTCAACAACTTCAAGAAGAGTGAGGCAATTCCACTGCAAATGTGATGGTATTGCCCCTATCAAAGTAACTCTGGTTTAAATAGAGGCTGCTTTGTCACTGGGCTGGGTATGAGAGAAGGTAAAGTAAATAGTTGCCTATATTAGGAAAAATGTTAGGGGCAGCAAAGTATAAAATCTATGAACAGGAAACATTTATTATTTGCCAGTAGTAACTGGCTACTCTTAAAACTGACGAAAGTGAAGAGGTAGTTGTCATTGGCTCACAGATAGCTTCACCTGACCTAAGGGGTTGCCATTCCCAAGTGGGGAAGGTCTTCCTGCCCCGCCTCCAGCAGGGAAAGTAACCTGACGGCAGCAACAGAAACAAATAGTTCCCCACTATGTTAGAGAGTCGAATTAACTCAGGAAAGATTCAGCAAGAGTCAGGAGACGATGCAAGGAGAAATGCAGGACTGCGTGGCCAGTAGGGACAAGAGTTGGAGAAAAGGGTTGGTTTTGGGGGGTGGGAACTTGAAAGCAGAACCTCTCCTTATTTCAGAAGATCTGGGATTAGCTCAGCCATTACAAGAGTTACTTCTACCAACCAGAAAGTTAGCACAGTACCTCATTTTTAGCTTGGAAAACAGACTAGGGCCAGCACTGCCTCCAAAATTTAATGCTGATGCTCTGATGTTGCCTTGCTGGAGAGGGGTCTTGAGCCATGATGTTTTCTAAGCCGGCCTTTCATGGTGAACTCCCTGAATCTAAATCTTCATGTGTGCTTCAAGACCTTCATGTTGACTTTTTTTTGCTGAGTTTCTGCAAAATAACTTCATTTCTAATGGAGCACAGTCTTGCCTGTGAAAACGCATGCAAATAGAGCTTAGTGCAAAGCTCCATATTTTAAAGTGCTTTCACCCCCATCTGTGATGCTGTGATTATTTTTTGTTTGTTTGTTTCCTTCTTTAGAGTGAAATGACTGAACTCCATCAAAGCAGAGGAGGATCCACGATGGATGATGAAGAAAACCTAGCTGTGCTACGGCAGTAAGTATATTTTGATAAACAACAAATGTTCTTTCTCTGATTTGGTTCCAGTAAAGTCTGAGTTTGGCTAAGGATTTGATAAGACAAGTATGCTTCTCTGAATTAAGTCTCAGTGCTTTTTGAAATGCATTGGCTGTGCTCTGTACATAGAGGAAGGTATTTCAGTCTGTCTGCAGAATTATTTCTAGTTTATATAGTACCAGAGTCTAATTTTGCTTCAGAAAGATAGTGCTATGGCAAGATAACTGCATATTTTCATTTCAAAGATGACATAGTTTTGAGGAATAAGCCTCCTGTAAATCTATCAGAGATCTTGGTCTCCATGCTTCAGAGGACTTTTGGGGTTTTCTATTTGACTCTCTTCAGTCCCTGTTTTGACAAATCTTAAGAAAAATCACCTTCCTGTACAAACACTAAATAGCATCACACACATTCCAAAAATAACTTAATACCACCTGTGTGTGGTATAGCAGAACTTGCATTTCTACCTGAAAACTGGATGCTCTTGGTGTCATTTCGCTGTTGTAACCATATGCTAAATCATCCAGAATTACAAGCGGGGGAAAAAAGAAGTATGCTTGCTTGACTATGAAGGAAATTAAACTTTAAAATGAGGCACTGTGCCTCATTTATTAGATGTTTCTAAGTATAGTGGAAAGCCTCAATTTTAAAATGACCAGCATAACTTGAAATCTGTATTTGATAATCCTTTGCAGCTCTAACTCTTGCAAATACAGCATAAACAGATTTTGTGATAAACAGTGATAAAACTGTTCACTGCTTCAGTTCAGCTCCTACAACACTTAAAATGCTAGCTTTTGGCTTTTTTTCCTGTTTAAACACATTTTCAACTTTAAAACATTTTTAAAATGCACGCTTCTCAATAAGGACATATGAACTGTTGACAGAAATGTCTATGAAAATCACATTTTACTTGAACTGGAAATGTTTCTTTTATTGTTTGAAGGAAAGTAGAAACAGACAAAGTTAATGTTGCCTCAATATTTTGCATAAGTGAATAGGCGTTCCTTAATTACCGTTCTTTGTTTACAGGCATGTAATTAATGAACTTATTGAAACTGAAAGAGCATATGTGGATGAACTTCTCTGTGTTCTTGAGGTAAAGATTAGATTTCACTGTGTTCTTGAGGTAAAGATTAAATTTCACTGTGGCTGATATGAATCTAGTTCAGTTTCATTTCATGGATGTTCATATGCTTTGCTTATCACTGTAATGCCTCCTCTTGTCTCATCAAGCAGTGTGGTTGTTACATCTCTGTCTGGTATTTTCCTGTCTCATATTCCAGAGGCAGGAATGTACAATATTTTTCCTAGAAATACTCATGCAACTAGGATTTTATATTAGTAAACACAAATTCAGCAGAAAAGAAGATATGCCTGATTATTTAGGTAGAACACAGTGACATTTGTAATGGTCATTAATTCTTGCAGAAGTTCATTCCAGAGTCTTGGGTCAGCTCCAGGAAGATAGTGTCATACTGGAATGTGAATTTGCATTGAAAGAAGAAATTCACACTGGAATGTGAATTTATGTTGAGAAAATTTTGTATCAAAGTAGCAAATCTACTTATCACATCCTTCTTTGTAGACCTTTAGGTGATCTTCCAATTATCTTGGGTAAAACTATGGCAGACAAGTGCCTTGGAATAATAACATCTTGAATCAAAATTGTGAAGGAAACAAAGGTATTTCCTTTGCTCTGTGCTTATCAAGGCACAATTACAGTACTGTGTATTGCTTGTAGATAGGGTTCTTGTACAGGGTTCTGTACCTCAAATTTGTCAAGTCTTCATACATGGACACATCATTTTGCTGTAGTCCAGTTTGATTGTAGGAGATGATAAAGCTTCAGATAACTTGAGGGTGAGTTATTTCAGTCATAATGTGTCAAAATTGAGCAAGTTGGGCACTTTCGGTATCCATGCAAGTGTTATCCTCTTAAATAGGAGCTGTCTTAAATTATGTAGCAGTGATGATTTCTGGGTAGATACCTTCAAATAAGAGTACTGCAGGAGCTCTGGCCTTACCTTTGCCTAGTTTCTGCTCAGCTTCCAATAGCGTTGCTGTTCTGGGTTCTGTCCAAATGCTGGGACGTGTCAACAACAGGATAGCTGTCTAATGTTGGGTAATAAAGCAATATAGGTCTGGAGTGGACCTTAAGGATTACTTTATTCCTTGCGTTTGTATGCAATCCTATCGGTATAATTCTGTTCTTAAAATCAAAATTCAAATGGTTGAAGGCTTTTTGGTTCTTCCTTCTGATAATGGAGGCTGTTGCAGAATATTTCTGTTCTTCTAGTATTTCTCTTGTTTTACATATAGTGCAACCTTTTGTATTGCTAGGTCGAGTGCTCTTCATTTTCTGCCAATACAATAGACTATCAAGCACTCTGACCATGCCAAGCTCATTTCTCAATATCTCCTTGAAGTTTGTTATTCATCTCTCTTGAACTTGGGTGATCAGAACTGCCAACAGTAACTTTGGATTGGATCCTTGCTGATGTATGGTTCAACGGCAGTCTTCCAGCTTTTGAGTAATTCTTATTATTAGTCCATGGTTGTGACAATTTCCCCAATTCCTTTGTTTCTCCTATGGTACTAATCTTTCCAATTTTCCCATAAAAGTAACTTGGTACTCTTTTGTACAGACGGTGTCTCCTTTTATGTTGCATTTCTTTGCGATGTATTTTCTCTCTGCAAAGGATTCCAATGGAAAATGAAAGGTAGTTTTTTAAACAAATGATTAAAAAAAAATGATAAAAATCTAATCACTAGCTTATCCAAACATCTAAATTCTTGAGACTAGCTCACTTTACCAGCTTGTTCTCCTACTTTTTGTCATTTGAACATAACTTTGAAATTGAGAATCTTGATTGTAGGTGTAATTTTGCTTATCCTTTTTATTAGAAATCTGTCACTAATGTGTTGTGTTATTTTTTTTCTGTGAGCACCTTATTCATTACAGTGTGGTTTGGGGGAAGAGAGAGATCTGATCCAAATCTAAAGTAGGTCACAACATCTTCCTGCAGCTGCTTAATGCATTAATAGCCAAATCTTGCATCATTCCGAATGTGTGTTCTCCAATCCATACGATCTGTTCTTCGGTAAACCACATGGTTTAGTTCAATTCCCCCGATTAAACGGACAAATTCAAAGGATGTTGTTTTAGCTTCTTTGTCTCTGAGAAGATGACTAAAAGGCATTTGGTAGTTCATTCACGTAAGAGTCTAAGAAAGGCAGGTACCATTATTTGCCATTAAATTAAACTATTCCATCACACTTGCTGTGTATTACTAGCACAGGTACTAAAGCATTCTTGCACTTTTTTCTTTTCTTTTTCCTTCTGTCTCCGTCTGTCTTTACTGTGAGATCTGTTAATAACAGAATAGTGTCCTCAGGGTACCAGAGAAGAGCACTCTTGAGCTAAAGCCACGTGTGTGCCCTCTTTTCTTTATTTGTGCCAAATACACATATGCAGAGAATGTGACCTTATATGATAAATGGAAAATGCCATGATCTAAAGTTATGACTTTTGGTGGCAAGTCTAACGAAAGCATCTTTAAAATAGAATTTGTAGCTTAGGTTTTTTGTTATAGATAACAGGTTTCTGTTATCTATAGAAGTAATTGTAGTCATAGAATCATTAAGGTTGGAAAAGACCTCCAAGATCATTTGGTCCAACCTTCCCCCAGTCACCGGTATCAGCCACTAAGCCATGTCCCTAAGTACCTCATCCAGCCTTTCTTTAAGCACCTTCAGGGACGATGACTCTACCACCATCCTACTCCCTCATCATTAAAGCCAACACTAACATGAAGATTTACATGTGTACTAGAATTGTGGCTTTAAACTCAGAATTGTAAATTCTAACACAAAAATCAAACTCTGACTTCTAAGGAGTATGAGAATTCATAACCTTTGGTTGGTGAAACATTTGCAAACATTGTTTCACCCTTGCTCAACTAAGAATTCCAGTAATTATTCAAGCATCTTTCTAAGGACTTTAGGTGTGTTTTTCTAAATTGAGGGAAGAGCAGAATTTGTAGACTTATTTAATGATTAATACAGAACTCTTTCTTTGCTGTTTATCAGCCTGCAAAGGCAGATTGCCTTATAAGAGAGATAAGTACTACAAGTAAAAGGAGGTGATCAGTGGGAAATGATCATGCGCTTCTTTGTTCCAGGGGTATGCTGCAGAGATGGACAACCCCTTAATGGCTCACCTCATTTCACCAGAACTCCAAAACAAGAAGGATATTTTGTTTGGGAACATGGAAGAAATTTATCACTTTCACAACAGGTGAGGATTTGCATTCAGATATAAAAATAGCATTTGAATGGTTTTCTTGTACTCTTAATCAGACCTAAATTGCTAAAAGATGCTTACTGAGTCCAACCTGGCTGTCTATCAAGTCAAAATTCATATTATATTGGAGGAGAAAAGCAAAGTGTTTACAAATGATGAGTAAAGCTGTGTGAAACTGTACCTGTGTTCTGAGAACATTTAAATAAAATTTTGGCAGTGGTCATCTTGAGGAAAGGTATTGTGATCTGGTTACAAGCTAATTAAAACAAAGTTTGGTGGTTTTTTTTTGTTGGTTTGTTTGTTTTTATGAAACTTACTATGGAAAGTAAATTATTACCCTAAAGCACAAATTGTCAATACTTTTGTATCTTCTTGAGGCTGTTTAATGTTATAGTCAAGTGACCTTCTTGCTGCTAGAAAGGTACTTTTCTTCATGTGATAATATTGTAATGGTTAGAAAATAAGTATTTTCAAGAGATATAAAGTGTATTAAATAGTTGTTTCTTATTCAGGAAAAACTAAACTTCGGGTTTTGCCACTTTTTTATTATTATTATTTGCTCTGTGTTGTTTGGTGGCACTTAGAAGGAAAAAAAACAAAGACTTTAAAACTGTACAAATCCTGCTGCTTAATACACAAGACAGGGAAACAAACTTTTTTTCCTGAAAAAAAAATCTTGTATTTCCTTCCTATTGCAGCAACAGGAAGCTAAAAGAAATTGGTCAGAATGTTTGTTCATTTCATTTTGCTACTCCTCTGTAAATACCTGATCTAGAACAGCTTTCTAATTTCATAGTACAGAATTACAACTCTGTTTCCTAAGTTTAGAAAACGAATTGCAAGAATGTTATCATTTGCTACAACTTTAAGGTGTGCTCTAATAAAATCTTCTTCCTTGTAGAATATTCTTGAGAGAACTAGAAAATTATGTAGAATACCCAGAACTGGTAGGACGTTGCTTTCTGGATCAGGTATGTGTCATCTCATGCTGGCATTTTATTCATAAGCTATTCTAAGGCTGTTACAGATAAAAGTAATTTTCATGTGGTAATTGCCACCAGATCCCCTTTTTTTTGTCTTGAACAGGTTTGAGAGTTGGGAATATTTTCCACTGTGTAGAGTCATTAATTTTGACAGAAAGAGCTACTAGAGTGTTGAAAGAAAATTGCTTTATTAAAGTTGCATTTAGGAAAACATGAAGAGGAGTCATGTACTGGATCATTTCACATCACTGTAACTGATTGTTGTACTTGATTAGCTTTCCTTACTGGAATTTAGTTTGTTTCTCTTTTCTTAAAAGAATACAACTCAGCAGAGTACATCCTTTTTTTTACTTTTTACTGTGAAAATGGAAAGCTGTAACAGAATTGAACTTTTTAATCTGGGCTTTATTAAACAATGAGTCTCACCTGTAGAATACCAATGGCTAGATAGGAATCTGTTTATGGAAATTAATCTTAATCTGTTACTGCTAACTGTTGAGGCTTTGAAACTGGAAGTAGTCATCCTTCTCCCTACCATTTACTGGAAGCAGCCATGAGGATGGTGTTTCCTAAAATGGAAGGGCTGAGTGCTTGCTGACTTCCTACCTAGCCTTTCAATTAAATCTAAAGTTACCTTTTCAATGCAGTCTTACTTCCTTTTGCTTTCAACAAATGTTGAAGTGATGCTGTTCAGTTACTAACTCATCTGAAGTTGGCAAATGTGTAAAAACAGCTACAGGATGGTGAGTTTCCTGCAGAATTAGAACTGTGAGGCCATGTCTAGGTTTGTAATAAGGTGATTGTGAAGCCCTGCAGATGACTTTAGAATATATAAAACCACTCATTTATGAGTTATTTGGGATTTTTAAAAAATCATATTAGATATTTTTTATGCAACAGCAAAATGAGCTACAGAAAAGCTCAAGATCTAGATAACATGTAATTTGAGGTCAACTGAGGGACTGTACAGTTCTTTGGTTGGCCATCTCTGTTAGAGAAAGGGGAAACATTCACGAATAAATGAATTTCAGAAAGTGAAAATTTAATGAATAATCAAATAAAAATAATAGATTACCCATGTGTGCAAGTCTCTTGAAGATACAAGAGCACCATGAGACCTGTGTAAGCAACCACGAATAAAAAATAGCAAACTCTTGAATATAATGTTGAAGTGATAAGGGGGCAATAAATGACTTTATAAAAGAGTAAATAGATAATAAAAGAGTAATAGATGTAGTAATAATAAATAGATGTAAAATAGTGAATAATAATAGTAAATAGATGATTAAAACTTGGTAAAATAGTAAATAAATGACTTAGGAAAATTTCCATTGAAAAGCACAGAATAAAAATTTGTAAAGAAGGACAAAGATTTTTTTTTTACTAAGTTACACAGAGGAATTCATGTTCTGGCATTAATTGAATTAAATTAAAAGATCCCAAATTTTTCATGTTGGTGTAAATATATTTGTAAATATAACATGCTTCTTCATAAGGTGTCTAATATTAAACTGAAATAAAAATGAACAGGAACATTTTATTCATATATTCCATGCACAAAATGTGTAGCTGTTACAAAATTAGTGACTTTGAATAATTGCTTTTGCTAGGGATGCCTCAAGGAATTGCATTTTTTTTTTTCTTTGGTCTTATTGACTGTGGAAAAACTTCTGATGAACTTAGTCTATTAAAATCATAAGAATTTAGTAATATTTTGCTCTTCTCTCCAATTTCAGATGGAAGACTTCCAGATTTATGAAAAATACTGTCAAAATAAACCTCGATCTGAAAGTTTGTGGAGGCAGTTTTCAGATTCTGTATTCTTTCAGGTGTGCTTGCTTGAATATCTGAAATATTTCTGTATTTGTTTTATGTTTAAATTTGTAATTTATCTCAAGAACAAATGACAAAAAATATTGATTGGTGTACCAATGAAATCTGACATTGATTACAGGAATGTCAAAGGAAACTTGACCACAAGCTCAGTTTGGACTCATACTTGCTGAAACCCGTTCAAAGAATAACCAAATACCAGTTATTGCTAAAGGTATGTGTTATAAAACTACATCATTTTTGGTTAATAAACAAAGTGTATTTTTTTGCCTTTTTTAATCCTGTTACTCTCATCCTGCTGGAAAGAAATCTAAAAGTTAGTAGAGAGGCGTATAAATTAAAACAGAAGGAAATTCCAGTCTATCAACTTTCAGCTCAGTTCTTTTTCTCTTTCAGCCAAAAAGCTACTAGTAGGCAGGCAAACATTAAACATTACCACAGAGGCACCATGTGTAACTTCTTTTGCCCTTACATTTCTGCTGAAGAGATTAAGACATTGATTAGGAAAAACAAAAAGACCAATAGAGTTTTGCAACAAAGAGAAGAGAGCGTCAGAAGTACATGCTACTTGTCAGTTATAGTGGCCTCATGCATGTCACAGGAGTTAGCCTTGCTGGATTTGAGAAAGTGTTCAAAAAGCTTCAGTTAAACAGTCTTCAAAGCAACTCACATTCTAGGAAATGTACTTAACTGAGCACGCTGTGTGGTATTTTTGCCACTGATTCATTTAGACATACTGAGAGAGCAAAATGAGAGGAATGTACTATTATAAATTTTAAAAAGAATGTCTAAATCTTTGCCATGCTTGAAACTGGCTTGTTTTAGGAAATATTTACCACATAGACATGAGTTTCAACAATTGTTTTTTACAATAGTTTACTATTGCATTAAAATAGTTAAAGTTAACAACTTTTAAAGAGTTAATTACTTTAAACTTACCTGAAGAGAGGAGCATTTGAAAGGTTTCTATTTAAAGTGTCTTTACTTTCTACACTCCGTTACTAAATGCTTATTCTCATGCTATGAAGCCTGTGGGGTTCCACATGAATTTGCCTCTATGTTCATCTGGAACCAAATTAGAAGATGCAGCTTCACCAATAAGCTTTTTGGAGAAGGATTACATTTTTAAATACATAGACAGTGCTCAAAGTTTTGGTCTATGACTAGCATTCCAAGCCATCCGAGGTCTTTGCAATAACTCAAATAATAAATGGAATTTGCCTATATTTTTATATTTGCTAGTTGTAAAAGTAACAAATGTTTCAGGTTTGTTTATTTGCTTTAAAAAGTGGATGTGACACTGGGATTTGTTTTGTTTTGTTCTTAGCACTTGTGAAAAATGCTTGCCAATTTAATATTGTAAAATTCTTAGGTACTGCTTATAAAAATGTTTGGATGAATGTGCAGGTAATTAGCAGCAGAGATAAGAAATAAAGAAGACCTTGGGGTCTTCTGAGTTAGTCAGTATTTAATCCACTAGATTATACGGTGTTGACTTCCCTGGATAACTTGAAAAATGTAGGCCGAATTTGGTGTTAAAATTCAAATATTCCTAGTTATTGCTGTTTCCAAAAAACTAAGTATGTTGTCATTTCTTGCCCACTCAGGAAATGCTGAAATACAGTAAGAATTGTGAAGGAGCTGAAGATCTCCAGGAGGCATTAACTTCTATACTGGGTATTCTCAAAGCAGTTAATGATTCTATGCACCAGATAGCCATTACAGGCTATGATGTGAGTAACAATATTTTTAATTTTTTCAGATACATATGTACAGTGTACTCCCTGTTACATACTGAGAATGAGAAGAATCTTGTACAAAAGATGCCTTTAAACTGCATTATGTAATTATGTGATAATGGGAAGAGGATCTGTATACTCTTCTGAAGTTTTCATGCTCTGAATAATATTTTTGCTCTGTCTACCCAAGTTTTCTTTCTTTGATCTACTTGACAGCAAGTTAAAAACAGAAAAATCATAATGAACAGTGTGTTCTAGGCTACTGCCACATGGGAGTTACTTCTAGTTTTTTATATCCATATGTAACAACTACACCTAAAACTTCTGGAAGAAGGGAGAGATGCAAGGAGCTTCAGAACAGACACTTGAAAAAACAAATGCGTATTTTGCCTCCCCCTTTTTCTATGTGTAGATCTCCATATCTTTGCTACTGGTACTCTTTCTTGACTGTGTAAAATCCTTCCTGAACAGTGTAGGAGAGAGAGAATATTAAACACTGACTATATTTTCATTACCTCTCCAAACTCAACATAAACACTGATGTGAGAGATTACTTGGAATGACAGAACTTGTAAAGACCTGTTCAGAGAGTGTGTTTTAGTCAGATGTTACCTCTTTGTAGTTATAAATATCACTTTTTGTTCCAGGGAAACCTGAACGAGCTGGGCAAGCTTTTAATGCAGGGATCCTTCAATGTCTGGACTGATCATAAAAAGGGTCACTCAAAGGTGAAAGATTTAGCACGCTTCAAGCCAATGCAGCGACACCTGTTCCTCCATGAGAAAGCAGTGCTGTTCTGTAAAAAGCGAGAAGAAAATGGAGAGGGATATGAGAAGGCACCTTCTTATAGCTACAAACACTCCTTAAATGTAAGGCATTGAGCAGTCCGATAAGGTAGTGGTACTGAGGGCTTCATTGCAATAATACAAGTCTGTTTTGTTTTGTTTTTGTCAGCAAAGATACATTATAGTTTTGCAGTGTGAACTTCACCCTTTTAGGCAAACGTAATGGTACTGAAAGTCTGTGTCACTTGGTGTTGCTGGTGGAGGTGGAGGAATTCTCCTTTGCGAAAATCTAAACCATACTAGTGTAGATAAATGGCAATTGCATTAATCGCACAGAAAATAGATGTCAGATTTTTCAGTATTCATTTGAAGAGACAGCTTGTGAATCAGTCTCAATTTAACAAACATAAGCCTTTCTTCCCTCTGAGGTAGCCAAGCTGACACGAAGTACTGAATGTCCAAAATGCAGATTGTATTATTAGTTATCCTTTTCCTTGAGGGAGAAACCAAATATGGTTTTCCTTTTCAAAAATAGATTGCTAATGAATATTATTAGCCTTCTGCTTCCACTGTTATCTTAATTGCAATTCGGTAGGTCAGCTTCTGTTCTCTTTGATTCTAGATGGCAGCTGTTGGAATAACAGAAAATGTCAAAGGCGATGCAAAGAAATTTGAAATCTGGTATAATGCAAGGGAAGAAGTTTACATCATACAGGTAATAACATGCCACTACCTTTAAAAGATTTTTAAAAGTGCGTGGTGTCTAACCCAACAGGATCTGTTTTGTTTTGTTTTTCTTTTCTTTATTATATCACTAACAGAAAGTGATGAGAGAATGTAAAAACAAAACAAAACAAAAGTTCACATTGCATAGGTTAAATCATAAGCAGTTTCATAAATGATACGTTTCAAATACAGTGTCTTATTTAAAAAAAAAAAAAGTTAAATCTGTGTTCCCCAATATTCATGGGGGATATTGCATACACTTGCTATTGCTTTCACTGGAGTTAGTTAGGGGAGAATCACAGAATGCTTTGGGTTGGAAACGACCTTAAAGATCACCTAATTCTACCCCCCTGCCATGGGCAGGGACACCTCCCACCAGCCCAGGTTGCCCAAAGCCCCATCCAGCCTGGCCTTGAGCACCTCCAGGGATGGGGCATCCATGACTTCTCTGGGCAGCCTGTACTGGTGCCTCCCCACCCTCTTGATGAACAGTTTCTTCCTAATATGTATTCTAAATCTCCCCTCTCTTAGTTTAAAACCATTACTCCTTGTCCTGTCACTACACTCCCTGCCAAAGAGTCCCTTCCCAGCTTTCCTGTAGGCCACTGTAAGATCTCCCCAGAGCTTTCTCTTCTCCAGGCTGAACAACCCCAACTTCCTCAGCCTGTCCATGCAGGAGAAGTGCTCTAAGGCCTTTGATCATCCTCATGGCCCTCCTCTGGGCTTGTTCTAATACACCCATGTCCTTCTTGTGCTGGGGGCCCCAGAGCTGAATGCAGGGCTCCAGGTGGTGCCTCACAAGAGCGGAGCAGAGGGGGAGAATCACCTCCCTTGACCTGCTGGCCATGCTGCTTTGGATGCAGCCCAGGATGTGGTTGGCTTTCTGGGCTACAAGTGCACGTTGCTGGCTCATGTTGGTACCCACAGCTCCTTCTCCTCAGGGCTGCTCTCAGTCCATTCTCTACCCAGCCTGCATGTGTGCTTAGGATTGCCCCGTCCCAGGTGCAGTACCTTACACTTGCCCTTGCTGAATCTCATGAGGTTTGCACAGACCCAGCTCTCAAGCCTGCCCAGGTTCCTCTGGATGGCATCCCTTCCCTCCAGCATGCTGACCACACCACACAGCTTGGCGTCATTGGCAGACTTGGTGGAGGTGCACTCAATCCCACTGTCCATGTCACTGATAAAGATGTTAAACAGTGCTGGTCCCAGTACTGATCCCCCTGAGGAGCACCACTTGTTGCTGATCTCCACTTGGACATTGAGCCCAAATTCTTTGTGACCAATTCCTTACCCCCTGAGTGGTCCATCCATTAAGTCAATGTCTTTACAATTTAGAGACGAGGATATCATGGGGTATGGTGTCAAATACTTTGCACAAGTCCAGGCAGATGATGTCAGTTGCTCTTCCCCTATCCACCGATACTGTAACCCTGTTGTAGAAAGCCACCAGATCTGTCAGGTACAGTCTGCCCTTAGTGAAACCATGCTGGCTGTCACCAGTCACCTCCTTATTTTCCATGTGCAAGGGAGCCAGGGGAAGACTGTAACATTTGCACACCCTTCTCGCTCAGTGCATTCAAATTCTTACAAATAGTTTCTATTCACTGAGGGACTAGGTAGAGGGTCTAGCTGTCCTTCTTGAAGGATTCCTCTAAGACTGTGCTTTGGCTTGAAGCTGTTTGTGTAAGAAGTATTCTCTGCTTGATGGCTGATTGTATTTATTTTTGGGTAGGCACCAACTCCTGAAGTTAAAGCTACTTGGGTAAATGAAATAAGAAAAGTGCTGACGAGTCAACTGCAGGCATGCAGAGGTAAAATATTTTGGATATATACACACTTATATTTTTTTTAATCTCTTTTCTCTTTGAACTTCAAAACCTACTCTGTTCACTGTGTAGGACTGTAAAAATGAAAAGCTTAGAACACAAACCTGTTTAATGGTTCTTTTTCTTTTCTCCATTACAGAAGCTAGTCAGCACAGGACACTTGAACACACACAGAGTTTACCTCTACCAGCATCATCTTGTACAAGGTAAGTGAGTTTGTTGTCTAATCACTCTACTTGTTTTGCAAATATACTAACACATTCACTTTATAGTTCTTTATTACTCCTGTCCCTTAATACTGACCCTTACATCTTAGAATTTTTTAGGTCTCTTTCTAATATAAAGCTATGAAGCTTGGGGTTTATATATCTCCAGAACTCATAGTTCTGTTGCTCTCCAGAACTCATAGTTCTGGAGAGCAGCAGTGGCACAGGTTTTATAGATATGTAACTTTCTATGCCAGCCAAAATTCTGATGGTATTATAGTTCTCTTTGTTGAACAGCTAATTATATACTTTACACCCCAGGTAAGAGAGTTATGTAGCTATGTGAAGCAGCCTTTTTCTTTGTTCTTTTCTCTCACCATTTTCATGCTGTTTTTCTTTTCGTCCTCTGCAAGGGCATTCTTTCTTGTTTCTTTCTTTTTTTTTTCTTTCTCTGCTTTACCTTTCTTATTAAGTGATGTGTTCATTCCTCTAGTGTTTCAAGTTTGGAGTCAAGCTTTTTAAATTTTTGTGTTATGTCCTTCACCGTACCAAACTATATAAGTATAGTCAAACTATATAAGTACAGTCACCAGTGTGCATAGCTTCAACTCTAGAAGCTATGAACTGAGAAGCAGCTAAGAAATGGTTCTCAGCCTTTATATCTGCATGTAAAAGGCAACCCGTGACACAAGGTCATCACCCACGTTCAGATTCCAGTTGCTGGAGATGGACTGATTGTCTTCCTTTTCTTCCAATAAACAGTCCCTCAAGGAACAACATCAGAAACGCAAAAAAAATGGATGAGAGGAAAGCTGACCTCACAAGCCTAGAAGGTTATGTGACCACAGTAGCACCAAAGTACCCCGAGAAAGGCAAAGGTGAGTTTACACATATGTATCGTGATCCTTTAGCTGTGAAGAGCATGCTCACGCTGCAGATGCACAGGCAGATCCACCAGCACAGTAGCCATGGTAATACAGGCAAATGCAACGTTACACCTGAAGGAGCAGGACTTTGCTGCTGGTAGCCCCAAGGCAGCCCACCCACAAGGTGCTACACACACTCTGTGTGAACATGCCAGTCCAAGCTGTCCTTACCTTGGGCTTTCTGTGTTCCTCTGTGTGCTGTGGACAGGCCCAAAACTTCCCTAGTGAAGGAGAGAGAAAAGGAGGTGGGAGGAACTATGGGTGATACAGACTGTAGTAGATCTTCTCTTAGAGCTCCCTGGCTCCTCAGTTGTCTTCTGGATAAGTTCCTTGGCATTACCTGTTTTGAAGAGGATTCTCATGAATTTTGCTTTACATAACTGAGATTATTTACTCAACTAGTGGTACTACAAACCCCTGTACAAGTAAGAACAACTCGCCCCCTGGGTTCTTTTGTTGTACCTGGACTTTCAGTTTTTCCTTTCTCATCCCGAAGTGCTAGTTCCCTGGCAGGGCTGTGAATGATTTTTTGCCTTCACCTTTTCTTGGCCTTCTCCCCTTTCTTTCTGTGTCTCTTTTCCTTTGTAGATGACACTAGCTCTACCTCAGAATGCTCTGTACTGTCAAAAAAGCGCTTTACACTGCAGGGCTTTACTAACCTCAAAAGTCAGAAAGGTAATTAAAAATAATAATAATAAAAAAGAAAAAGCTAGATTGTTTTCTATGTAAGGTTGTAATTGGAACACCACTTCGTGTGTGTAGTGTAACAGGTTCGTGTATACTTTTTCAATGTATATATTAGCTTGTTCTCCTATGTTCAGGCTAGGTTCCTGCATCACAGACCATGACAGGGAGATTTTTTTGAGAGAGACTGGCTCCACTGTGGGAGAGGGAGATACAGCCTGCAAAGATGGAGAGCTGTTGGAGATGTGAAGGAAGGAGTGCAGTTTCTAGTGCTTCTGGTCTCACTACTGGAGCCTAAGGAGTTCAAAGTGCCCTCTTCCTGAAGAAAGCCTAGAGGATGTTACCTTCAGATCAAATGCCTGGCCTGCTTCTAGCTTCAGTGGATCTGCCCCAAATGTACCTGTACTTGGCAAGAAGGAATCAAGGTTTTGCTGGAGTGTTTCTGTGTTAGCTTCCCTTCTTAACAGAACTCCTAAAGCATGACTACAGCAGAATGTGTGTTTTGCTAGATACAAAAGGATACAAAAGTAAAGAAGAACTTCTTTATGCTTCCAGAAATGGTCTTTATTTTTATTTTTTTTTCTAAAACGTAGGGCTCAGAGAGATTTCTTGCTTCCTCCTGCCAAGTAATTGCACTGGGTACATTCACTTCTTGCTTTGAACAGCTATCTTTGAACAGTCTGAATTGCACTAAGATGATGACACTCGTTCAAGAACATGACTGTTTTTCTTTTCCATGCATCTTTTCTGAATGCCTTTTCAAAACTTGATTACCTTTGAGTTCTTTCTGGAGAGACTCTAGGGTGGTGTATCTGGTACCAATGAGGTGAGCACTAATATCCCATGCTTGCCTTGACAGAAACTCCATCTCCTACTGCTAAAAGCCAGACATTGCCAATGATCCTTCTTACAGGACCAGGTATTGCTGTAGCACTAAATTTGTATTAAAGTGATTGTTTATTTGGTAATGTTTGTCTAAAATTGAAATTAATTATATTAATTTGATGTCTAGTTCGTTTTGAAAAGTTTACGTATACTTTCGTCTATCACCATAAAATTAATTTGTCAAATCATCTTAAACTGTACATGACTAATTACCTTCTCCTGCTGTAATTGACCAATGACAGCTAAAGCTAGAGTGATCACAAAAATCCATTTGTTTTCCAGTATAAACTCAAAGGTATTTAGCATGCAATCCACCTATTCTCTTTTTTCCAGTTCTTCAATATCTCTCTTCTGTGTTTTTTGCCTATTCATCCTCCTGCAGCTTCTCCTACCAGTCCTGACAAAAAACCTAAACGGCATGAAGTAGTGAGTGATCCAACTCCTTTTGGTTTAAGAGGTAGAGTGTTACCACATCTTGTACTCCACAAATCCCCACCCATCCCTGGTGTTTCGTCAGAGCACTGGGGATTATCTGGATGATGATGATTTGTGCAGCAGTGCTGGTATCTGCTGTGTTGTTCCAAATGAGCCCAGCAGCTTCTGTTTATGTTGGTTTTGATAGCACAATTTGTCAAAGTTTTACCTTGGCCTCAAATAAGGTAGACTATCTTGTAGAGAGGATTTAACTTCTAAAAAGGGGGAAAAAAGAGCAGGGGGAAGGAAAGTCATATACTCTAATTAGAGGGAGAATCACCCCTGTCCTGTGAAATGTACATTTGCCTTACTCCATTTTCGGTTTGCATTTATTAGTCAGTCTTGTTGCATCTTTTTTTGGGTTGACAGTAGGCAATTTTCACTACCCTGTTAACCTACAATGCTTTAACTGACCCCCTAGTAGCAGTTTGCCTGCTGTCCTCCCAACCCACAGCTAAGCAATGAATAAAACATTTCCATTAAATGACCCATTTCTAACTAGCAAGGATGTTGGCAAAGGCTTAAGTACAAATCCCTGAGATTCATTAACTAGAGTACAAGGAAAGTGCTCTCTTCTCATGTAACCATCTATCTTTCTTTTAGAAAACATTATTCTAAAGATTAAGCTATTTCAAGCCCTCCCACTGTCCCCTTCTCCCGGTTTCCACAGCCTTTGTGTTTGTCTCACCTGTGGAAATGATGCTGGTTCTGCTGCTGTGCTGGGGAAAACTGTGCAACACCACTGACCCTGTCTGAGCAGCAGGCAGTGTAATCCCAGGCCAGGCTTGTGCACAAACTCCACAAGTGTGGATATGGGAATTACAGTGTTAATTTTCTGCATGTGAGATCCACAAGTACCATGGAAATTACTGAATTGATATTACTAATTTACATTAAAACTTCCGAGTCCTCTGAACACACTTCTGAATTGCTGTCCTGTCCAGCAGCCTCTCACTTTCAGAAACAACCCAAACCAAGTAAACAAATTTAAAACATCTGATACGTCCCCCTTCATGTCTTGCACCTTCTGATCTCTTTTTTGACAGACACTTTCTCTTCTTCTTCACCAACTCAGAGGGATAAATGTGTGGTGAGCTCAGCCATTTCAGGATGAAGCTGCACCAGACGATGGTCACAGCTTCTCAGTGCACGACACACTGCCCCCACTTGTTTCTTTTCACGATTGCATCCCTCATAGTTAAACCCCAGTGAGCTCAAGGAAAATGAAGTAGTGACAGAATCCTATCTTGGAGATGGATCCTGTCGTTGTAAAGAAACCTGCAGGCCTGTTTCTTAAGAGAAGCAAATTATGAATTCTGAGTTTTACTAACACCATCAAATTTAAGCTTGCTGATTTCTGCATAGTCTTTTCTTAGGTCTCTGCCACTTCCTTGCATGCTCTGCCTTCACAGGGAGCTCTGATGTAGTCACATCATGCAGAATACACACGTGCACATTGAATCAGCATGCGTAAGCTCAGAGCCTTCAGTTAGTTAAGTGACCACAGTGACCACTTTTTTCTCCACAGATGAGATGGGCTTGTTAGAGTGCCAGCCTGTCTGAGGAACAGGCGTACTGCTGCTATGGCAGGATCAGGCAGGTCTGCTCCTACCTCTGTTAGCACAATATGTGAAAAGAAAGGCAAAGGAGCTGCTGCCCAAAATGTTCCAGATGAGCAGGCCAGTGAATGTGATGCTGTGGGAAGAGCAATTACAGTGGTGTCACTTTCTTTTTCTTTTGTGCAACTTTTTGGTTCTGTTTCTAATGAGAGCTTGGAACAATTAGAAGCAACCAAATTTTCTTCTGTTGCATTGTTCTTAACTTGGAAATAACAGAAAGGGTTTTCGCTGTGTCCCATGGGCCTACTCGCTGTGTGCTTCCAGTGAAATTTGCATGGGATACAGCAGGAACTTATTACTCAGTTTCTTCACAGATCTCATTCTTAACCCTGGACAGGGCCGAACGGGTCAGTACTTCTAACCTCATGCAGGCCATCCAGCAGTGCAGGCGAGGTAAAAGACCCGCTTGGTTTGGCATGCTCTGAGTGTGATTTCTTAGATTGCTTTGGTTTTACTCTGACAATGCTCCTGGTTGTGTTTTGTTTTTTTCTTTATGCACTGGTGTGAGCAGCCAGGCAACAAATGTAACTTGCCTCAGCAGCAGTGAAGAGCAAAAATGCTGCTGCTCACTCAGTTTAATGAATAATTACCTAGAAGCTGGGATGTTTGTTTATCCTTTCAGTCTTTTTCATTGAGTTTTTTATTGTTACAATTTGGCCCGAACCAAAATGTTACTTGGAACTGTTTATTTGTCCTTGTTATTTTGACTTTCTCATTGTAAGCTCAGCACACGCATTAGCAGTTGCTGGCCTCAGTGAAAAGCATCCCGCTTACTGTAGTTTTATTTGGAAAAGGATTTTGTGCTCTCTGGATACGGTCCAGCCTCATAAATAAATGAAATGCTTCACGCAGAGAGAGAAAAAGGAACACTTGGCAATAAGTGACAGGCAGGAGGTTGTTCTTGTGGTATTCGGTGCAGTGACTTAACACGAAGATAATTCAGTGTGATTAAGCATCCTTGTGTCAGCCTGGATACCCTTAACCAGTAAGCTGCATCACCAGATAAAGTATGAAGTGCCTGTAGCTCCTGTTGAATTTTTAAGTGCTGTTAAGTGCTCAATATTTTGAATGAGATGACATCTGTCCATCCCGTGTTCAAGCAAGCTGGTTGCTTTGGGTGACAACCATGTGTGTCTGTCCTCTTCCCATAAATTCACATTCCCATCCTCTACCCCCTCCCAAAAGAAAGATATCTATTCGTTGTTCAGCTTTGTGTAAGGCAGAAATAGGTTCTTTTTAGCTTGGGAATTTTGCTTTCTTTCAATGTATATAAATCCAAATGGCCAAATTCACTGCTGTGCATTGCCACAAATCCGCTTGGATGGAAATGGGCCACCTTTTGCTAGCTTTGAATTTCACTTTGTGGCTGTAATAACCTCCCTGTCTAAAGTTTTTCCTCCTTTTGTCACTGAAGTGGCTTTCAGGAGGAAGAACATTCCTCCCAGTCAGTGGCACGCTGTTGCAAAGTTAACTGTTGGCTGTTTGTTCACAAAGGTTGGGCTAAAACGTCGCATTCTCTTGACGCATCTGAAGAAAATGATGGTTGGTCTAGTGCTGAAGATCCACTGAATTCATCAGATGCAGAGGAAGAAGGAGGAGGAGGAGGGGGAAACGAAATGAAGCTGGTAACCAGAAATGCTTTCCTGTTGGGCTAAGCAAATGCTACTGTTGAGTGACAGTACATAGGAATGCTTTTGAAGCTTGCTGGAGAAAGAAAGTATCTGCCTTGAAATCCTCAGCTGGGTAAAGCTCCTAGGGCAATGAAAAATACTTTATTTTCTTAAGTCAGCCTTTTGTTTATACCCGGGGATGGTGTACCTGCAGACCAGCAAGACTGCGAGTGCTTATGATGTAGTACAGAAGTCAAGCAATGACGTGCTCAGCTGCTGTGTCACATACATCGTGTCACTAGTTCTCCAGGGATTTTTTGTTTGTTTGTTTTCCCTTGGGATTATTTTTTTTTTCCGGTAGAGGTTTGAGTTGTTGTAATGGAAACATTTCACAGAATGCTTTTCAGGGTGTGAGAATTCATACACTGAATTTGCATGGAATTAAACAGCAAAGCTATACTGCCGCTCAGTATGCATAGTTACACTGTTTTCAACGTGTATGTGCATGAGAAAGAGAAAGAAGGGAAAAGTGCTTTAATTTTCATAACAAAAGCTGCAATGAACTTTAAGGTACTCAAGAGAAATCATTTGTGTTTTTCCCTGTGTGCATTTAGACTCCTGGTAAATACACAGTTGTGACTGATTATGAAAGAGGAGTTTCTGAAGAATTCACAGTGAAAAGCGGAGACCTAGTTCAACTGATTCGTGAAGGCGAGGATGGACTTTGGTACGCAGATCTGTGTTTGGAAACTTCTATACGTGGAACTGCGTTTAGAAGGCAAATGTTTAGGGCAAAGCTTTCAAAAGTGGTAAATGAAGCAATCTGACTGTTTTCTTCTTTTTTATAGGTATGTGAAGAACCTGAGCACTGGTAGAGAAGGTTGGATCCCAGCAAGCAACCTGCTGATGCTCATAGGCAATTCAAAATCGGCTCAATCTTTGAGCAGCTCTGGTAGGCTATTTATTATAAATGCGATGCTTGTCTATCTGAAGATTCCTGTTATGAAAGAAACCTGTGAAAAACAACCATATTGTATTTGCTTGTGTTTTTCTTTTCCTCTCCTTTCCCCTTCCCAGAATCAGGCACTGCCTCCAGCACTTTGAGCACATCATCAAGTTGCAGTGACAGCTGCAACGCCAGCAGCACCAGCTTCTCGGACATTAAGGGCTAAGATCGAATTTTCACCCCACCTCCATGGAAGGTAAACTGGAGTTTGCCATCTTGTGTGGAGTTCTGGACGTTGGACTCAAACGAAGGACCACCTGTTCTGTGTTGCTGGCTTTGAGTATTTTCTGTGGTGATTTTCAGAGATTCTCACCGAAGATCACAAGGAAAAGTCCACAGGATGTGAAGCTGTAAATAAAAACTAAGTGATTTGAAATAGGGTATCATAGAGGCTTCTGCTCTGAATTCTGGAGCTGCAGAGGTGCTAGCATAAAACATTTTATCCCACTGATATACAATCAGGTTTCTGCAGAACTGTACTTTTCATAACACCCAGAATCTGAAAGTGAGCAAACAAAATGTGTTCAGTGCTAAATCCTTATTGTAAACTAATAACATAGTAGTCACTGTACAGGATAGGTATGCCAAAAATAAATCAGATTTTAAAATTTCTCTCCCCCAAAATACCCTTTCTCCATGGATGTACCTCATTCAGTGCAGTGAAGGGGACTTTTACAGGAACGAGGAAGTAAGTTTGGTCCAGCCATTTCTCTTCTCTTGGGTCGTCAGGATACTCTTCTGTACCCTAGAGATTGGGATGCAGAGATGACTTATTCACTGACCACAACAGCATCAAAAGAAAATATTATTTGATCCTTTCCAACCTTTTGATAACATGTGCAACAAAATAGCTGTTCCCTCAGACATTTTGGCTTCACAACCAAACTCTTCACCAATTTCACTGTGTTTACATAGCCTTGGCAATTTAGTACTATCTTTTTCCTAATTTGGGTGCACAATGACACAAACATTCTTATTCACTTGATGATTTCTTATTAAACTATAATTGCACAGTTACCTTCGATTTTAATTAGCATGCAGTTACAGGCAAAGGAAACTATTGTGGCTTCCCTATGGGTCAAGAGCCTTTCTCCAGAAAAACATAAGAGGTCAAGAAGCCAGATGTAGTTTTAGTCAATGGAGTATGTTGCAAATTTATTCAAAAAAATTTTAAAAAATGACACTTTTTTTCTGTAAAGGGGAGCACAAGGAGGGAAAAAAAATCTTTATTAGAGTCAGATTTGTCCTGTGGTCAAATATTTTTATTTTTTTTTTTTAAAGGAAGGATAATGCTAAACTTGCGATTTTTCAAGGTATGATGTAAGCCAATGTTATAAACTTTTACCTTGTGAGATGTTCTTTGCACTTCGTCCTTATAAGCAGTACAAAATTGTATGCATGTATGGAATAATGTATTCATTCCTTTACATATTTATAATGTTTTTACTTATATGAAAATAGGTTTTTACCCAATTTGTATGTCATATTTGTTAAAAATACCATGGATGTTAAAAGCATAATTTTTCAGAAGCTCTAAGCAAAGCAAATTGTGTCTATGGGAATTGCTGTTAATTATCCAACCCTCTGGCTGAGCCCTGAAGTCTATCTTTATGCCAGAAATTTAGACTTCAGCGGCTGTAGCTTGGGAAACTTAAAGGAGAAACACTCGAAAGAAAGATCTTGGTCCTCAGTTCCAAAAGCAACCCTGCCCCAGACAGAATCAGAAACGTAGCTGACTGTGGTCAGTACAAATTGAAACGTGTGTGTGTATATATACACACACCCACACATTTATGCAGATATATCTGTGCTGGTGTGTGTGTATATATATGTGTGTGTAGATATGTATATGTGTAGATATAATGTATCAATGTAAAGGATGTATTTATAGTCTTCATGCTGCTGAATGTGTCACTTTACAATTCATAAACACTTAGGTTTCTTGCAATACTGCAATATAAAGGTGGGTCAGGGTTTTACTTCAGGCGTCTTTTCCAACACAGAAATCCTCTGATCTTTTTTTTTAATTATCCCACGTAATACTGTGCAGACCAGGAATATTTAGTCTGGTATTTAACAACGAAATGGCGGCATGAGATTCAGCTTATCTTCATCTGTGTAAGTTATTTTGTACATTCTGTAACATAATTTACTTATATATTGCTGTCATCGCTAGGATAAGACTGTCCTTTCATTTCTCACTGCAGCCTCATTTGTGTTATTTCAATGGTTTCCTCCACATCATTGCACTTTAATACAACCCATTTCACTGTTTCCCCCCCCCCCCTTTTTTTTTTACTGCTGTTGTGATTTAGAGGTTCAAAGTCAGAGGTCTTTATTGTAATTATGAAAATTTGAATAAATTTCAGCACTTCTTGCTGAATGCCTTTATACAGACATGCTCCGTGTTTTATTTTTGTCTTGTCGTCTTAAAAGCTGCTTATGGTTATCATATAAAAATAGACTGGATTTTGAACAGAAAAGCAGGTTTGTCTAGCTGTGGCTAGTTGGGATTCAAAACCCTCTTCCTGTTCTGCACAGATGTCAGTGAGCAAAATGCAGGAGTTTGTCATCTTTAGAGAAGTGATGGAAATTAATTATGGTCTGAATTTCCATTCTACTTCTGTATCATCAGGTGACTATTATGAACCGCAGTGTACAGTTCTGAGTATCCACACAAGTCACCAGAAGTCTCTCTGGTACAAGAGAGCTACCCCAATCCAAACCCTTAATTTAAGATGCAGTTATAGAACTGTCCCTTAAGAGTTAAATTGTGTCTAGATACAGCGTCATCAAAGTAAGATGCTTAGATGGTGAAATAGCTTATTTGAGCTTTTATTTCAAAAGAGATTAATAGGTAATGTTTAAACAATGATGGCCACAATTACCAATAGCTACTGTTCATCTTCAGTAACAGCTATTGAAATAAAGGTGAGATCCTTTCGGAGGCTTCAGAGCCCCCTTACCTGGCTCATGCTCAGGGGTCTTTGTCTTCTACTCTTCTGCCCACCCTTTCCCAGGCAGTTTTTGGCAGGATCAGCTCCCAGAGCTGATGAACCTTTCCTCTCTGTGAGCAGAGGTGCCTGTGCTTGCTCCTGTGGCTCTGCCAGGTCCCCGTCAGGGACAGCCCCAGATGGCAGCGGGGCAGGGTTATGGGATGCATGGGGCGATGACATCCTGGGGGGAGCTTTTCTGGAGCATAAGGTGGCACAGTTGTTTTGGCACCCCTTCCCCTCCTTGGCTGCCCACGCTCTGTTGCACAGGGTCAGCTCTAAATAGCTTGTGTAAATAAGCACTGATGGGCTCCAAAGAGTATTCACAGTGCAGCCTCCTCGCCCAAAGCTCGTCTTTTCTTAGAAAATTTGAGGGTAGTGTTATGCATAGAGAAGCCCTTGACAAAAAAAAGGAGCGTGATGTACATAAACAGCAGGCTGTGAGACAAACTGGCAGCATTTCTTCATCAACCTCTGTGAGGCTGGATGAAGAGGAGGCCTCTCAGCTTTTCAGAGGAGGCCAAGTCAAGGCCTGGCCAAAGGAAGCCCATGAGGAGCTCTCCCAGCTGCTCCATGCATGGCTCTGAGCCTGTGGAGACAGGCCAAAATGCCTCATAACATTAAATACCTGTAGAGACCTATATGCAAGAAGAAATAATGTGCTAAAATATGCTTGTACGTATAGTCACATCTCTCCTGAAGACCATCGGGACCGCTGCTGCCTGTACCAGCAGCAGCCTAAAGATGGTGGTAGAAAATCAAGGATCGAGGCCTGCGTTTCTGTGCTGAAAGGTTTGGACTAAGGTCAGCCACTTTGGTGCTGAAATATTCTCCTTGAAAAAAAAAAAAAACACAATTGAAATGAATTGATGAATCACCTTTCAGGTGTTTGTATTTATTTATTTGATCTCAATTGCCAAGACAGCAAAGGGCTCAGCTGTGCTTAAAAGGCTACGTGTTTGCTAGTGGTACTGGTATAGCTGTGATGGTCTTAGGAAATAGTCAAGAGAAGATCTGTAGTAGAGTTAATTTCTGTTATTACTAGCTGAGGTAGATAGCACTCACCATAAACTTTCGGGCACACCGACTCTAGTTTAAATGTATTTTGCACAGCCTTTCCTATGTCGTTTGTTTCCTTGTAGGAAAAAAAAATCCACGTTGACATTAACAATATTTTAAGAACCTGTATTCAGAGCTGATCACAAATATATATATATGTATTAAATAATATATATATATGTCAAAAGTATTATTACCTCCCCATTTTTTACTCCTTCTCTATGAGCATAGTTGCTGCACAAGGGCAAAGAACTCAGCCAAACGGGCAAGGAATTTTCTCCTAGAAAGAAATATTTCTCTTTTGATGTCTAAAAAGCAAATTGTTTGCTTTAAAGCTTAGTCACATAATATTTATGTATTTACAGTTTAGTACAACAGGAAATAATTAACTTGATAACAGGCTTGGATCACTTTAAAGTAGTCTGATAAGTGTATGATGGCAAGTTACATCTGTTATTGGAGATTTAGACTGAATTTTCCATTTTTAGCTTGTTCCTAAACCCTTTTTACTTAGATACCCTGGTCAGCTCACTCAAGTGATGTCTTATGGTATTTCAGAAATGGAAATCTCTTTAAAAAATAAATAAATAAATAAATAAATAAATAAATATAATCACTGAGTGCTGACAGGAAAACTCATGTTTAAATAATCGGTGACCTGACGGATCAGACTGAGTTGAACAGTTCCCAGTAACTTCCATATGTGTCTTATCTTCAGCCCAAAATATCAAACTAAAAATAGTAAAATCATGAGTTTTTCTTCGAAAAATGTCAAAATAAAACAAGACAAGAATAAAGAACAGCATGTTCTGAGACATCAATTCATGTCTTCCAGGCTACTGCTTCTGGTTTAGACATTTTTACACATTGTTAACATTTTTCTTTTTTTTATTATTATTGCTTTTATTTTTATTTTGTATAAACTTGGAAAGAAAGCAACTTTGGACTTCCAAAGCATACACTAAAAAAATGCCCTAAATCATATTTTCTGAACAGCTGTCCCCAAACAGATTCTAGCAGCAGTCATGGGGTGAGTTCGCCTTAATATGCATTTACTTTCAATTGGACGGTGGATTATTTTCCTTGGAATTGCTCTGAAAATATAAGGCAAGGCTGAAACCTCCACTGGGGAGGAGATTTATTGAGCAGAATACTGGGATAATTCTCATCAGCTACAGCAAGACCACACAAGAAAATCCCTCAAAGCAAGGTCTAGGGATCTAGATCCTGAAGGGATCCTGAAGGGATCTAGGGACCCTAAGTCCTGAAGATTTTCTGGATGCCCAGTGGCTCTCATCATGGGCACAGGCCTCCCTGCCACCCCTGATGACATCTAATCGGAGGAATTGTTCTTGGAAGAAGGGCTGGCCCCATGTGAACCCACTGCTGTTCCCAGCACTCGGACTTCTCCCTGGGAAATAACAATGGATTTTGTTGTATTCCCAAGCAGTAAAAACAAAATCTTTTGTGTTTGCGGGCTGGCAAGGGAGAAAGAGAGCAGGAAGGCACTGCCTCAGGCCTAGAGGATGCACAGAAGCCTGTGCACCATGGAGGAAGAGAAGCCAGCGAAGTGGTGTCACGGCTGTGGAGCAGGACCACCTGCACCCCCTGCCAGATCCCACCCTGCCCACAGAGACACCCCTGGGTGGCAGCAGGGACCAAGCTGGGCCGGCCTTGGGTGCAGGAGGCAGCTGGTGTTCAGTCAGACAGGGCTGCCATCCAGCCATGGCAAGGAGCAGCAGGAGCGCGTGCGAAGGGCGGCCGGGAGCCCAGCTGATGGTGGCTGCCTGGAAGTTCAGCCAAGTGTTGGCAGAGAAGCAGCAGAACAGCTGGGGCTTGTCAGGGCCACAAGGCTGAGGTGCAGAGCCAGCCCTCCTTCCTCCGCACCAGCCGAGGGGAGGACTGCCAGGAAGATGCCCCAGCCCTCGGGGCTGCTTCGCTTCTCATGGGCAAACACGCCCTTTACCTCCCTGCTATCTGAAGTCAATATTTGCCTAAGCCTGTTGTCAGCTCTCTGCTGTGATGCCACTAATTGATTTCCGTTAAATCAGGGGATTGCTGCTTTCCCAAATACAACGCGATTTGCAGACTAGCCCCTCGAAGCCCTGTCATTACTCATGAAACACACAACGTGGATCAGCTCCACGTCTCCTCAAGCCGGTACAGCTTGCAAGGCACAGGCTTCTTGCAATAAAGCCACAGGAAACCGATGTCGGGTACCTCTTGCTGGTTAATTAGTGTCTCCAAGTAACCTGAGCCAGAAGTTCAGGGTTTCCACTGGTGACTGGGGGGTGGGAAAGGTGGATGTCAGCAGTTTGGTCATCCCCCAAAGCCCTGACAGGCTGTACCTGGCCTGCCTGGTCGACACAAATACCCTGCCGCAGCTCTCTGTGACACGGCCAGCTCAGTGCCATGCAGACACAGGGGCCTGGCGTTTATTTTTTGCAGGAAAAAGGCCTGTTAGATGGAAAATAAAGGGGTAGGGTAGGAGCCTCTGCAATCAGCACAGCCTGTGCACAGCTCAGGAGAGTGTGCTTCGACAGCAAGCTCCCCGCTGGTGTGGTAGGGACACAGCACAGGACCTGCAGGTGCCCTTGTGCTCAGCTCTCTTCGTGGATCATTCCTGGTTTCCATGACTCGCCGGCCCCTCCTCTGCTCCCAGCGTTTGAAGCTGAGCTCTTTGGCCAAACAGTCCTTGCTGAAATGTCAATACGCCGCCGGGACGCCGACTTGTAGGGTTCATCATGGTTTCCAGGCAGTGCGTGGCTTTGCTTCTCTGCTTTCCGCTGCTGATTCTTCTTCCTCTGGACGCAGGTACGTCGCAGGGTACGGCTGCAATTACGTTTACTGGCAGCAGACCTCTCTGCTGGTACACTGGCATACTCCTTACCGCGAGTTTTGAGTGCTGTCGCATGCAGAAATGTTTGTCCTGCCTCTGGCTGTGCCTGTGAGCTGTTTGAAGGCTCTTGTTTGCTTTCAGTGATGGCATCCGTGTGCTTGTTTTGCCAGCTGAGGAAAATCCCTTCCACACTCCTGTGTGCATCTATCACCTCACTGCACAGGCAGCAGGTCAGCCATCAGCTGTCTGCCCATGAGGTGAAAACAGGAACCTGGATTTATTGTTATTTCATGCTGAGCCGTGGTATTTTGCAAAGCAGAGAATCGATAGCCTGTCATTCAGCTGACAAGAAATGAAAGAGGGGAAGACCGCGATGTTTCTGACGCAGTAGATGAAAGTGAGGTGGCAGTTCTTTGGTAGTTTCAGGATGTGTCTGAAAATTAGCAGCCAAATTAATACAGCAGAACTGGTGTTTTGTGATTCTCAGGTAGCCATTGACTGGCTCTCAAACTGTGATGACCAAAGCTGGAAGAAATTTTTAGAAAAGTGCAAAATGTTCCAACGTAAATAAGTGGTGAATGCAGAAATGAAAGTGGGAGGGTGTCAGTATCCATGTGCATTCATACATATGTAATGTATCTGCAGCATAATTATAAACCTTTGAAGAAAGCCATATTAAATGCATACAGCCTGACTTAAAAAATCACAGCAGAGCAACCCAGCTGACATTCCTGCAATGGACAAATATTTATCAAACACCCCGTGATATATTAGATGCATGCCACACAATACTTTAATCCTTTAAACAACTTGGAAATATGGGGAAAATGACCAGTATTTCACACGTAATTCAGCAAATGTCCTGATTAGACATCAATGCTGAGAGAAAAAGAACTCGCCAGACCGAGCTAGGCCCTCTCAGGATTCATGTTTGTGTGTATGGCTGTGAGGGTGCCTACGAGTGCATGCTTGGCTCCCCAGGTTCATCAGTCTGGTCCTTCAGAGGCCGCCCCAAGCCCTCCCAGCAGGCAGGAGGTAAATCTCCCTCTTCTGTGGGTCCTGTGGTGGTGGTGGAGAATGTCCTGGGGCACAGGCAGGGCATATGCACCATTTTGAACCCCTGACTCTACCCACAGTAGATGGGTTCAAGTTGCAAGTGTTTATGTAAGTTGTTGATACTAAGCTCCAGAACTCTCTACTGACATGGAGGAAAAGAAAAAATAAAAATAAAAACAAAAACAAAACAAAAACCACAACACACAATGAATTATTTCAAGACTGGTGCTGTGTATTATGTGGAACAAAAGTACTTTGCAGAATTCTTAATTATCCTGAATTATGCTGGATGGGCATAGCTGTGTGGTGCACTTGTATCCTGAAGCTGAGGAGCAGGTCAGCATGGGGACAATGCCATCAGGTGTGGGTGAGGAGCCCTGGCACAGGCTGCCCAGAGAGGCTGTGGGGTCTCCTCCTTGGAGGCCTTCCAAAGCCGCCTGGAGATGGGCCTGGGCAGCCTGCGCTGGGTGGCCCTGCTGGGGCAGGGCTGGGGCCTGGTGGCCTCCAGAGGGCCCTGACAGCCTCAGCCATCCCGTGGTGCTGTGAAAGAGTGAAAGGTTTTGATACTAAGAACAGTGAGGAGTGGAGCACTGGGGAATTAGGGTTGACTGGCTGACCCATCACCGAGTGACTTAGTGTAGTGAGTACAGGAGCATTGGGTGTTGCCATGTGCATCAGTGCTAGGTAAAGCTTGATAAATGCTTTTCAGCTGATAGAATGGGAAGAAATGGCCCTGCATATTTTGAGACCTACAGTACAAAGTGCACTGATGCTTTCGGAGTCTCTGGCACCACATTGGTATTATATGCCCTGTTCTCTTAAGGTCTGGGCTCTGTAAAATCCATCCACTTTACGTGGGAGGCACGCCAGAGGAGGGAGGCCCAGGAAAGCTGTGTGCATTTGCCCAGCTTCTCATAAACAGCTCGGGAAGCAGAAAACCTTTCCTCCCTGCCCTTTCCTTCTGGAGAGCACGAATGTACGACAAACACAACATGCCACTGTTTTTCAGTCTTTCTGAAGCGGAAAGAGGCAAATGGCATTTTACAAAGGCACCGAAGGGCCAATAGCTTCTTCGAAGAGATAAAGCTGGGGTCTCTAGAGCGAGAATGCATGGAAGAGAAGTGCTCCTTCGAGGAAGCGAGAGAGATCTACCGTGATGATGAGCGGACAGTAAGTAACGCAGGGCTGGGCAGGCGCTCCCTGTCAGGGGGACCCCCACACACCTGACTGCTTTGACACTTTAAACCATTACAGCAAGAGACCCAAGCACTTCGTGTCCTGCTCTTTGGCTCTTTGTCTTACATTTCCAGGGGGACAAGCAGGGTGAGCTGCTGGAGGGCATCCTGCATGGACCACACTGGGCAGTGCTAATTCAGGGGATGGTGGGATAGCGGCTTCTCTCTAAGCTCCCTCCCCGGTCCCTCAGTAATTCCAGGCCTGACAATACTGTCAATTATTGCATTATTCAGAGTTTGGTTCAGTCCATCCCACCTCCTGGATACAGAGGTCACTGATGGATGCCCTCTCTGTGTGTACTACACACTCAGCACATGAAAACAATGTAGAATGTGGAAAATAATGTAGAACATTTTATGGATATACACTTTCATAAAGGCAAATGGGCATCACTGTGGCTATCCGCAAGCCATCCTGTGCTACAAGGGCTGTAGGACTTCTTCTGAGCGAATTCATCTTTAATCAAATCTCGCATCTTTGTCTTCCAGAAAGAGTTCTGGCACATCTATTCCGGTAGGAGCACTCCGTCTTTTCCAGCAGCCACAAAGCTGCTCCCGCTGCTGCCTGCTCTTGGTGTGATCCGGACTGACACTGCGTGTTTTTGCAGACCCCAACCAGTGTGACTCCAGTCCCTGTCAGAACGGCGGGAGCTGCGATGACCAGTTCCAGGATTACGTTTGCCGCTGTCCCGCGGAGTACGAGGGCAAAAGCTGTGAAAAAGGTCAGCACTGACATAGCTTAACAAAACAAAAACATTATCCTTGATTCAAATGCAAGGCACTGAGATGAGTGGGAGCAATCATTATTGCTCAGCATCTTTCTAGCAGCGACAGCCACTGTTCACACCGCCCGGGGTGCTGGATGATGGATCTAACCAGCCGGCAGCCAGGCACTGCAGAGCAGAAACACAATTATTACCCTTTGAGGATTTTGTAACAAAAATTGTCTTTTGTGAACCAGCTGAGAAAAAAAGGAGGATTTTTATTTTCCTACCCAAGTGCTGAAGTTGCTTTGACTTAGGAGCACGGTGCAGGGAGTGAATGAGAACTATGCTGCATGTGCATCATACAAAGCCCGAGGGGACGGAACCTGCATTAATGAAGTCAGGATAAGTTTTTCCACTGATTTCAGTGGGCAGAACAAATTGACTGTCATGCTTACACTCTGAGCATGGTGAGCCCAGACGAGGACTAGGCACCCATCAGTCTCACCAGGCAGCCTGACAGCTCCCACTGCAGCTCACTACCTGCCCATCGCTTGAAACAAGCCACAAAAACTATACCCTCATCTTCTCCATGTACTGCTAAGCTGATCACAACCACCTTCTCTACCACCTAGGCTTTGTTTTTCATGGTTGCTGCATTGCAGCAGCTCCCTAGTCAGCATCTGTGAGCCCTCTCTCCTTCTACGATGACTTAGTGCAAGGCTGAGTATGGGGTGATCCCTGTATGATTTCCTTCTGTGCCTCTGGGCCAGAGAGAGCTCACGGCAATAGAGGAGTGATTTCTACAAACACCAACATATGTAAAGCTGCCCAGGTGGCTGAAGTAAAAGAATCTGGCTGGAAAGAGGTTTTTTTGTTTTTCATTTTGTTTTGCAAAAGATAAGTTTTCTTATGACATGATTTATTCAGTGGTCATCCCAGAGCATCCTTGTGCCAAATGGGAGAATACAAACTACTTCCAGTTTTTCAGCCATGCGTTATGATGGTTACCATACAATTACAATCCTTTCATCCTTTTGGAAATGTAGTGTGCTCCTGCTGAAGCTCATGAATGCGGACTGATTTAATTTTAGGTGTATGCTTTTTAAGCATGGACTTTTCCTGGAATCCAGTCCTACGGAGCTTTTGCCAAGCAGTAGTAGCTTTTGACAAAATCACTGTACATAAATCACTGAAATCTGCTTGGCTGCCGTGCTTTCTTGTCGACATGTCAAGTCATAATTCACTCTTGTTAAGTACCAAAATCCACATTCAGAAACCTTAATACTCTTTCCCCGACTTTAGCCGTGGCTGAGAAGCTGAAGTGCATGTACGACAACGGCGGCTGTGAGCAGTACTGTGCTGATGAGCAGGCTGCAAAGCGAGTGTGCTTCTGCGCAGACGATTACGCTTTAGCGAGCGATGGTGTGTCCTGCATTCCCCAAGGTAAGACACCACGAGCCCGATGCTAACTCTAAGCCACCCCTGCAGGAAAACTTTTCAACACCTACACGTTAGGAGGTGCAAAACTCTTGGATGCCAGTTCCCTGCTTCTTCTTCAAGGGCAGAGTCTAGAGTGGTAGGTTGGGGCTTTTGTTGAAGCACCCCAAAAATGCAGTCTGGAAAGTGTGCACACTAAGTCACCCCTAAAAGGGCTGGTGGGAAGTGCTGAGCTCGATTTGGGGGCTGAAGCGGCTGAGTTGCTGCAGGTTGTGCAGTGCCCCCAGGACCCTGAGCTGGGAACTTCTCTTTGCGAGGGGCCCACAAGTTCTCCTCTGAAAAACTGGGCAGAAATCCCCTTTCTTCCTCGAAACCTTCAAGCGTGGGGAGGAAGAAGTAGTGCCACCCATTTGTTGGGCATTAAGCTTGCAGCTAGATCACTCACTCAGAAAATAAGGAAGCTGGATTCGCTTCAGCTGGCAAAGGTTCAAAGCATGGAGTCTGCATGCCAGGATGTCTTCTCAAGGGAGGTCCTCACCTGCTAGTGATGTCCTTCAGACCCCTCTTTCCTGGTCCCTCTCCTCTGGGACGTGGGGAATGTGAGTTTGAACACCCTGGGATGGAGGAGGGAGCTGAGCCCCTGCCTCCTCTGTGGGGAGTGCGCTCACCACTGATACAGTAGACAAGAACTGAAGCACATCCCATGGCCAGGTGGTCCAAATAAAGCAGAGCAGCGGGTACTCAGGGATTTGGGGGATTCGGGGGTCAGGCTGAGGGGTTTCCGCATGAGTAGAGGGGCTTTTGGCCTGAAAGGTGCATTTTTTTGTTCTAGCTTATACTCACTGTGGTAAATTATTTTGTGGCAGTGTTGTTTCACTGTTGATCTCCAGTTCATGTGAATTTGTGACTACAGACTTTGCTACCATAATTATTTCAGCACGGGAATCAAAGGAGGAAGATGCTTATTAAAATCAGAGAAAATCTGCTATTCTTTTTTTCTCACCTTCTATTTAGTAGTACCAAGACACTTTTGGTATTCCTCTAGACAATGTGGTATTTCTCTCACTCATCTGACAAGGTAAATTTCAGCAGGGACTACAACAGCACAAGTTCATTATGTTTCAAATACAGAAGCTGGCACTTTACTCTGTTGCAGATGCCTGCTTCAATTACTTTCTCAGAGGGGAAAAGGAGACCCCTGGGGACACACACACAATGGACAGAGCTGCAGGAGCACGTGTTCACATCTAAAAATGTAGTTCTGAGGGGCAATGCCCCCATGCACACACTGCAATGGAGCACTCATGCGGAGAACTGATAATGACAGCCCAGCTCTCGACAACAGCAATGTCATTTAAAAAAAAAAAAGCAAAGTGGTGATGTGCTTATCCCTTATTAGCAGATTCTGCAGTATCATGTGATGGGGAAGCTGCTTTTTGGAAAAGCTGAGAACAAAGAATTCAATATTCCCCACAGGCTTTAAAGCCCGTCTTCTCCTGAGCAGAGAGAGGATGATGTATTATTTGTTGTTGCTTGCTTCCAGAGGGCCAAAATACCGATATCGCTGACCACGCAGTGTGAGGATATGAAACTGTGCAGCTGCCACACTGCCAGTCCCTTCACCACCCTTCTGTCATCTCTCACCGTGTGCTTGCACCTTCCAGCACCCGGGCTTGTGTTGCTCTGCACACAGCATTAGAGGGCTTTGTGCCGCGTCTGTCCTGGTATTTCACCAGCTGCCAGCAAAAGAGCGAGTCCTGCTACTCCACACCCTGCCTGTATTCGTAAAAGCCCGATGCTTTCTTTGCGTTAGCTGAATTAATTGGCACGTTCAGGCTTTTACAGAACCGTGGAGATGTTGGATTCAACTTGGCACACACTGCAGGGCCCTGGCTCACAAAGTGATAAAGAGAGAGCACTTCTCATCCCAGTGTTACTGCAGAATGGCTGCTGGACGTAAGGGATGGAGCATTCAGTTACAGCACAGCCAGCTGGCATCCCCCCAAAATAATCCAGTGACAGACCCTCTGCTTCGTAGCAGGAAAACTCAGTTGTGTGAAGGATGTACTGAAAACCCCAAGCACCGCACTGCGGCTCAGTAGCAGGTTTGGACCTCGAGACTTGCTTCTCTTATTGCCAGTCTTCACATGCATGCTTGGGCTCTAAAAGGACCTTAGACTGAGGTGTGCAGCCTGGAAGGACTAAGCCTGTGGTCTCACCATGCCACAGTTGCTGTACACTTTTAGTACAACTGAGTTAAAATCAGCAGGGCTGCTGAAAATACACAGGCAACATGGCTTGACAGAGTTGCTTCTGCTCTGAAGTCTGCAGTCTGCCTCCCAGTGCTGACATATATCTTAAGCAGTTGTATTATTTGCAAGCTCCTGTGGTACACAAATATATGTCAGTGTTGCCTGTGTGTCTGCTCTCTATTTGTGAAACCATATCTGTCTTTTTCAAAAAACAAAAAAAGCCTATCTACCTGCTTTGACTTACTTACAAAGCCCATGCAACCAGACTAGAAATTTGGTTTTCACCTCACAAAACTCCATTGAAGATGTTTATGGGAATCAGTCTTTCTGTGAATTCAGTGCAATGAAATCACACTTGTTGCTCTTTTTTTTTTTTTTTTTTTTTTTTCCCAGTGAAATACCCATGTGGAAAAATACTGGCAAAGAAGAATGCAACTGCAGATGGGAGAATAGTAGGTGGTTTCATCTGTCCTCACGGTGAATGTCCATGGCAAGTGAGTCTTCAGAAGTCTTTTATTAATTTTTTCCTTGTGAAACCATTATCTCATATTCATTATTTAAATTTTGTTATGTTCAAATCCATTAAAAGTGCAATCAAATTCCCTCTTTATCCATAGCCAGCGGATCCACCTGTGTTTCAATCACACATCTTAGCCTTGATCTGGAGTGCCTGTTTTCGTAGTAGAGTGGTAACACAACCTCCTCTGCATCCTAACCCCCAGACCTTAAATTTACTACCAAGAATTTTACCTGGGGACACACTCTTGGCCACTCTTGGCAGGGTCTAAACTATAAGATGGAGAAAATGTTGGTGGAAACTCCACCTCTTCCTAAATTCTCCACACAACCAGCATAGTATTCTCAAACAGCTGCATAAAATGACAGAAGGAAGCAATATAAAATCTGACTTTACCAAGATTTAGGTCAAAAACAGTTAAGACAGACATAAATTTGTTTTGTGTTGGCAGGCCCTTATAATACAGAATCAGAAAGAAAAGTGTGGTGGTACCCTGCTTTCCCCAGAGTGGGTGGTGACTGCAGCTCATTGTTTGGAGCACACCCATGTTAAAGAGCTCCGAGTGAGGCTGGGTATGTATCTTCCCTTTCCCATGTCATCAGACTGTGTTTATGTTAACTTCTCATTCTAGCAAGCCAGAGTGAAAACCAAAAAGTGTTTGTCCAGAGACTTTCTATCTCCATAAACTTCTACGGAATCGAATTGCTGTCTGACATGCAATCAATAACTTTTCTAGGTGAACACTCAATAAATGTTGATGAGAAAACTGAGCAAGAAAGTGGAGTTACCAATATAATCATGCATGAAGGATACAGGTACGGACAAGTCGATAACGACATTGCCCTCCTGAAACTGGAAACACCTGTGAACCTCACTGATTACGTGGTGCCGATATGTTTGCCTGAAAAACGGTTTGCAGTGTATGAGCTGTCCTCCATCAAGTTCTCCACAGTGAGCGGGTGGGGACGTCTGCTAGATGGAGGTGCTACTTCTTCTGTCCTGATGAGAGTTGATTTGCCACGTGTAAAGACACAAGAATGTGAGAAGCAGACCGATTTAAATATTACAGAGAACATGTTCTGTGCAGGAGACCTGACCGGCACTAAAGACTCCTGCAAGGGAGACAGTGGTGGACCTCATGCTACGAAGTACAAGAACACTTGGTTTCTGACTGGGATTGTCAGCTGGGGAAGGGGCTGTGCTGTTGAAGGCACCTACGGGGTTTATACGAGGGTATCCAAATACATTGACTGGTTGAAGAAGTCCATGGATTCATAATGCTGAATCAGGGCATTTCCAGATTGTGTTATTGACCCTTAATCTCTCTGTGACACTTTCCTATTGAAGCATTCCTACATTAACTTAGATATGTGGTACACGAGGTATTATTGATGATTTGAAATGAGTCTAATGCCTGCCTGAATACATCAAATAATTTCTATATTGTTGTAAACTCGAATATCTACATGTCAAGCAGGCACAGAAAGGCCATATCAGACCCGCTGCAGAGTCCCTTTCATTCTTTATCCATTTTTGGTAAGAGAGCTAGATGTTGAAAGAAAGACTGTCAGTAATGTGTCAAGCACACCATGATCCTTCCTTGGGCTACCCTCCCACCCTCTGGTTATCAGTGATGTACAGGCTTCCTGAGCAAGAAGTTGCATTAGTTTGAACAGCCATGAATGAACCCATTCTTCCATAAACAAGTGCAATCTCTTTTGAACACATTTACACTTCTGGCTTTCACGACTTCCTGTGCTGATGGGTCCTGAAATATAATGATGCAATGGCAGAAGAAAGAAGAGTTTCTTTTAAATCATGCTAAGTAAGGTAGCTTTCTCTTGTAGTGGTAGATTTGAAAGGGGAGAACTGTTCTTCAGAACAAGAAAGCTGGAAAAAGGTTAATTCCACATTTACGGGTCTGCTATGAAAACTTGATTTTAGTCTTCTGGCACCAAATATTATTGCAATAAGGCTATTAAGTGGAATATTCAATCCTAAATTTATGAATGGCGAAGAATGCCACTGATTTAATCTTATCTTTGCCTTGTTATTATGATTATCAATACAGAACGAAAACAAGTGAAAGGGAATGTTTGTTTAATTTGTTGGCCAGTATAATCTAACAGTGAAATGGTGTCCTCTGTCCTTTGGCCTAAAGCCAGAACAGGAGAACAATATGATCATCTGCAAAACAAAGACAGTTCAAAGACAGTTCTCTGAAGCCTTAATGTGTACAAGGGAGAACCTGAGGAGCTCTGAGCATGCCACAGACTACATCTTTACAAAATGTGTTTCCTTAATGTAAGCATGAGACAAAAAAAAAGAAAAAAAAAGGTAAGGGAAATCACAGATGAAACTGAACACGGGATTAATAGTTTAAGTACATTATGTAAATCTTATGCTTTGGATTCATTCAAATCACGCTGAATATCAGCTCAATCACAAAGGCTAATCAGTTAAATAGGACACACTGTTGACTGCGGTCTATGACTGGGGGAAAACACTGACATTATATGGTACATACCCCATGCAATACTGAACATCCTATAATCTGCATTACTGACATAGAATGGTGGGCTACTCGTTTAAGAACTGAATTGGGAAAGGCAGCAAACTCCAGAGACTCAGGAAACAAGAGGTCTTAGACAATAAAAACACAACCCAGAGGTTCTAATTATTCCTAAAGAAATAACAAGACCAGACCCACTGGGGGGAGAGAAAATAAAAAAGGAAATCATATACACCAGCAGAAGAAGCATGCAGAACAAAGAGAAAATTGGGAAAATTCCCATGGAGAAAGGTGACTAAGGGCAGCAGCCAGCCAATAAAATCTGATTTTCACTGAGACAAGGCACTCAGCATTGCAAAATCACCCCTCCAGTCCCCTCGAGCTCAAATAGCTTTGAGTTTTGCAGGCTCCACGGGATGACTTCTTCTGGGTAAATATTGATATTTATGAACAGATCATCTTGCAGAAAAAGGGCAAAACACAGACAAAAACCCCAAACAGCATTAATGGCTGCACTGCGTGACTTTTTCGTAATAAAGCCAGGTGTTAAGCATATCTTTAACATAACAGCTTGTTTAAACAAGCAGAGGAGACGAAGCAGACGCAATGGGCAGGCTCTTGGCAGCACCTCAGCCGGGGCCTCCCCAGCGCACAGAGACCTCACTGGGCACCACACAGTGGGACTCCAAAAAACGGGGAGATGGAGGACAGATCTGGGGCACATCTCCTTGATCAGGGGACCCCTTCCCCACCACAGGGCACTGAGCGAAGATGGCAAAACAACGCTGCTGGCATGGAGCACCAGGCCAGGGGCAGACGGGCCCTGGGGGTGTGAGGAGGCAGTGGGTGATGGTGTCTGGGTGCGGGGTGTCGGGGTGCAGGTATGGGGTGGTTTTGGGGGGGGGGGGGGGGGGGGGGGGGTGTCCAAAACCGTAGGTTTTGGGAGCGGGAGGCCGAGGCCTGGCTTTGCTCCCAAGGCGAGCCCCACACCTGCCAGCACCAAGCCGGGCAAGGCCAGCCTCGACCAGCCCTTGCTTCATAACGTGACGATTCGCTTCCCAACTTCCCCCTGAGAAAATGGCTTAATTAAAAAAGCCAGCTTCCTTGCTTTTTGGTTTCTGGTGTTGTTTTTGTTTTCTTTTTTAAAAAAAGTAGAGCCTCATCATCGGTCAACCCCCCCCTCCCTCCCCCGGCTGAGAAATCCCGCGGCGGCTTTCCCCCTTCCAGGCGCTTCCGCTATTTCTGGGCAGGGTGAAGCAACGCCGCCGCAGTCTCTCCCCGCCCGGGGAGGTGAAGGCTTCAGCTCCGTCCCCTGTCGCCATCCCTGTCCCCGTCCCTGTCCCCGTCCTGCTCCGCTGGCAGCTGCGGGGAGCCCCCCGCCACCATGGCCGGCCGCCTGCTGCTCCTCCTGCTCTGCGCGGCACTGGCGGACGAGCTCCGCGCTGAAGGAGGAGGTAAGGCAGCAACTTTTTTTTTCAGAAGGGGAGCCAAGGGGTCTAGGATGAGGAGGATGTCCCCTCCTGACGGTTTTTTGGGGGCTGCTGTGGAAATGCCTGGCTGGAGGTTCGGTGCCCAAAGAGGCAGAGGGCTCTGCTGCACCCCTGTCCTGAGCTGCGCCTCAGCGGTGAGGAGCTGACGGGTGACACCTGGGGTGCCCCAAAATTGCTGCTGGGTTTCAGCAGGGAGGTGGGGATCCCAAGCGGTCCTGAGGTGCTGTGCCTTGCCGTGTCCCCCCGTGAAATGGGGTCTGTAGCGCTGGGAGGAGAGCTGCCCACCAAACGGGGTGTGCTGGAGGTCGTGGGGCTCCAGGCGGGCTCGGCTGGGTGCGCTTGGCCATGGGCTGGGGCGCAGGGGGATGAGCACGTCCTGCCTCTGTTTGTGCTGCGAGGGTCAACATCAAAGTTCAGGACAGAAAGCCACACCATGTGGCTTTTCAAAAGGCATTAACTCTTCCTTCAGTGAGTCAGCCTACCTGGGTTTTAAAATAAGGTCCTCTGCAGGTTGCTAGGGTGTCCTAGTTGAGGTGACCAACGCCCATTGCTCCTCTGTGTTTTCAAAGAAAGAAGGATGACAGGGAGTTTTGGAAAGAGGGCAGCCAGCCTCAGAAGACTAATCGGCTAGCTGAAGTTTACAAAAACATCTTCTTACAGTGACGATGGGGAGGCAAAGGAATAGAGTGGCAATAACCCCACCAGCTGCATCCTGTCACTTTCCCATAACTGCAGAGAGGGATTTGAGGACAAATAAGACAGTGGGTGAATGAACTAACAGTTGCTGAGCTAGAAGTTACAAGCACTTTCTGTAAGCCTTCCTTGCAAGGAGCATATTCAGAATAAGTGGGACTCCAAAGTACGCATGGGCTCTGTGGTAGTGCTTAATACAAATGGCAGTAACAGAATTTGGCTCCCTGTGGCTGATCTACCAATTTCAGTGGAAGCAGAGTAAGTTTCCTCCGTAGCTGCTTAGAGCATATTAAATTATATGATTACTGATCAGCTAATTTACTTATTAGTGCATTGAGATGTGTGAAGAATGCTCCAGAAGGTACATGCATGCTGCCCACTGAGTGTGAGCCTTCAAGACCCACCTGCAGCACTGTCTTCCACACTGCAGTCTGTGATTGGAAAGTATTTTTTCCTATTTAAATTTCAGGTGTGTAGAACATAATGCCAGCTCTTGTTACTGCAGAGTAACAGGACTGCTCATGAGCTGAGTTTTCGTGCCTCTGATCCTTCAGTTTCAATCAATAGCTACCTGTGTCTTAAACTTCAAGGCAGGAGATCTCACGTGTGACACCAACCTTTTAAAAAATAAAATAACCCAGCAATCTGACCTCGAGGTGTACTTTCTTTAGATGCTAAGCTGACATTTGTTTGCTTCTGTTCTTCATTAAATCTTCAAATGCAGCTCTACTTGCAAACGTAGCGGTAAGAATGTTACGAAAGGCAATTAGGAAGTGATGTTAAGAAGGAAGGAAGACCCCAGGGCAGTGCAGTGGGATTTGGGGTAGTGCAGGACAGTAGATCTCACACACGGGCAGTTTCTTTTCTGAAGGTGGGACTGTAAGACAGCTCTTCCCGTCTGTCAGTAGAACCCCATGCTGCTTGAAGTCGCTGCATCGTGAGTTTGTGTGGTGGTTACCTTCTGGACCACCAGCCCCTGGAGCAGCCAGTGGTGTTGCCTGGTTGTCCGATTTAAAACCAAATCAAGAACTGCAGTCTCCCTGGCCTGCAGAGTGGCAGAGAAAGTCATTCTGTTCAAGACTAGAGTGTAGAGCAGGAGCAACAGAAATAGAAGCCCTCAGCAGCAACCTGCATGTTCTTATTTTCAAGACTAACAACAGCAGGACAGAGTTTTGCGTGCCTCTAGTTTGTCTGGGAGCTGCTGATTCTGAGAGAGATCCTGAGATGTATCAGTCTCTGTGAGGACTGAGATGACAGGTAACATTGCTTATGGGTGGAGAGTTGAGAGGGTCTGTTTTGGTTTTGTTTCCACCTCATTTATTTCTGATGAATTTATACCACCACTAAACGTAACCTGGCAATCGTATCATTTTCTCTACTGTCTAGTATTCATCAAGAAAGAAAGTGCTGACAAATTCTTGGACAGACCAAAACGTGCTAACTCCTTTTTGGAGGAAATGAAACAAGGCAATATTGAAAGGGAGTGCAATGAGGAGCGCTGCTCTAAAGAAGAGGCAAGAGAAGCCTTTGAAGACCAGGAGAAAACTGTAAGGATGAACTAACATGCAACATAGGCCTGCATATTTCATGTTTGCAAAATAGTATAAAGTATTGTGAGCTGGACATCAAAACTTACAAGTTATTGTTGATTGCTTAACACAAAGTGTGAAGTAGTGGTTTTGACTGTGGCTGGAATTGCTAAGGCATAAGCATATCAAAATAGTCTTAGTTCCTCTCTTGCCAAGTCAGGCCAAGTTAAAGTTTCCATTCTTTTACCTGTTCTGATCTGCCTAATTGCCATTGTAAGGTATTTGACCTTTAAATGATTTAATACTCCTTGTGTTAGAACTATTTTCACCCTATCTGTGTGGCATAGCTGACTGACACGACTATAATAGATGGAGAGTCCATGGGAAGGTGGGGATGGCAAATATTGACTTGGAAGTTCACATTAATGTTTTTCCACATTTGTCTCAAGAGGCTTTGCAGGGCTTATCATTTTCTGGCCATCTTTCCATCATTTGAATTGACAGAATGTGTATTCTGGACAGTCCTTATATGCCTTAATGTTAAATTCCCACATGGAATGAGGTTTGTATGTGTGGATCTTGTGTCACCTTCCCTACCCTGGAGGCTGCTTAACTTTACCTAGAAGTGTGAGCAGTTCAATTTAAGTCTCCCTATAATTAAAGGGAGACTTAAAAAGATGGGGCAAGGTGGTGGGCAGGTAGAAAAGGTAATATTTGAAAACATGAAGTGACTTGGTGGTGGAGGGGAATTGGGAACATTGTACATAGCTGTGTGGCTGTTAAGAACAGCCCTGAAATGGGAGTCAAGGCTAGACTCATTTCACTGTGGAATTCCTGGCTGGCCAGAATGTTCTTGGAGTGGCCCTGAGGTGACCTGGGTGAGGAGTCATGGATGCTACACCAGGGCACTTCAAAGCGTAAAGGTTGGCTGATCAATAGCAGAACCAGCACAGCCTGTTCTGCCTGGTGACCAGACCTCATTGTCTTGGACAGACAGCATACCTGGAGTCCTCAGTGTGAGAGAAAGAACAGAAATTGGATGAAATATTATTAAATCTCAGGATTTCTGAGGTCCAGCTTCATAGGGTTACAGGGGAAGGAGACTGAGAATTTGATGTTACAGGAATGTAAGTAAAGTCAGTCAAAACCAAGGGCAAGATACAGGTATGCTAGAAATCAAATGCCTTATGCTGAGTGGGTCACATTAGGAACCCCCTAAGCAGGTTCAGGTATTTCTGAAAAATGCATGAGACTTGTTTCTCTTGTTTCTCTTTCAACTTGTTTATGGTTGTTTATGATCTTACGGGTCTTTTCCAACCTAAATGATTCTATGATTCTCTAGAGCTGGCCACTAGAGATGGTTCATTCATATGGTTTTAATTAATGAAATGGCAATATCAGGCTGCAAGACATTGTATTTACCTGTAACTTAAATGTTTCCTGAAAATTATTAGCTATGAGTATCCTCTCTATGGAAACTCTGATACTTTTCTGAAGAACTGAATTCAGTAATTCTCATCTAACTCTTTTTGTCTTCTTTTATTTCCCTCTCCCTGCACCTGCCTGTAGGAGGAATTCTGGAACATCTATGTAGGTAAGGAACACCCTGCACTTGTTTAGAAAATTAAGCCTCCTTATTGCAAGATGAAAAAGGATACACCTCTTACATAACCACTTCCTGCTGCCTTGCTTACTCTTCTTGCTGTGGGATGCCCTCACTTTTGTGTTTCCTCTGAAAGAGGAACCTGATTGATTTACAGCCTTGCTGTTGCTTGAACCCAGTCATTTCATTTGAAGGCAAGGTCCAGCTGCCTCCAGTTCCTGGGATGACCTTTGTAATGTCAAAAAAAGAATACTGACCCTTTGTAGATAGCAAGAAGCAGAAGCTGGGCCTCTGGCTCTGCCTGTTAGTTATCCTCCAGAAGGTCAACCCAGGATGGGAGAGACCAAGATGTAAAGAAGAGTGTGGCACTTATATGCTTTAGCCAGCACAACCTATTAATCTGCATTGCACAGTTTCTTGCCAGTTTTATGTCACCTTGCATGCCACAATGTTGTTGGTTTCTGTAAAGTAGATCATTTGGTGGGAAATGTTTTCTACAGAACTCTTTGGCGTTCGAGGAAGACATACAGCAGATTAGCAGATACTGTTTTCCAGTCTTTTCTGGGTTTTCTTTTCTTTTCTTTTCTTTTTTCCTGAAGGTCTGAGTTGTACTTATTAGGGTTCTGTTGTTCATAATCATTTCACATGTGCAGATTTTTAATGTATTAGTGTTTGGTAATGCATTCTTCTGAAAGTATGTGTCCAGCCCACATGTTAGGAGGAATACTTCAAAAATGTAGACCAAAGACTGCTCAGCTCCGTCTTTTGAGTCTGCAGAAAATTGAAGACAGTTGCCACAAAGAAGATGCAAACTTTCACAATCCTCTAAGGAGGGGGATGAACTCTGCAACCTAAAGGGCGAAGTTTCAAGCAAAGCCTGCGTCAGTGCTACAGTGAACAGGAGTGGAAAATTTCAGACCATTCTCTCATGAGAATACAGGCAGTGGGACATCAGTGCCAGTGCTCTTAGCGGAAATGCCAATTTCATACATCTTAAACCACAGTCCACGAATTGCTTTATTGGTGTTCAGAAGTTTTGAAAACCACAGCTGCCCTCAGCAAAGTTGCTAGAACAATTGTGTCTTGTTTCCTTTTTTAGTAGGGGGATTCTGCAATGTTTTTTGTGCAATATTGACATAAAACTCAGTCCCACACCAGCAACTACAGTACAGGGGAATACTGTGCACGTATGGTTTCTATCAGTAGGCTGCTGCTCAGCTAAGGCCGCTACAGAATAGGGCAGGCCTCGTGTGTGCCTTTCTTTTGCTCAATGTTGGTCTTGCCTTCCCACTGTTGAGGATGGACATCAGTCTTCCAGCACCTCCGTGGTGGACCTCACTTGGAGTGCTGTCGTTTGTGGCCACGTTCAGGTACAGAAGGGATGTAAAATGTAAAATGGGCAGCACACAAAGCCCAGCAGATGATCCCTGTGGCAGATGTAGCTGCAGAAGATGAAGTCACAGGTCAGAGGCATCGTGTAGGTTGCAAGCTGGATCTATAGGATGAGCAGTGTTCTGCACCTTGTCTCCGCTGTGGGCACTGCTGTTCTTCCAGGTGCTCCAAACAAGAGCAGAACAGGTGGCAACATTCGGAAGTGTGAAGGCCGTGAATCTCCAGCAACTAAGTAGCAAGCATCAATTCCCCAGATATCCTACTTGTCTTATCACACACTCCAGAAGAGCCTGGCATCGTATGAGGCAGGAATGCACTTGTTACTGCAGGTTGCTGTATGGGAGAGATCTAGGTAGCGAGCATCGGTGCAGGAGAGTGAGCTGCTTTTGTGAGGGTGGGAGAAGAGGCTGCTGTGTGGCACATTCCCCCAAATGTGGTGCAGCCTCATTTTTCTACTTGTAACTGTATTTGTGAAGTATGTGTGGCTGTGGCTGGGGCCAGCCAATTGTGTCCAGGTCATGGAAAGGAAGGGAGGTGGCAGAAATATGTTTAAATATTGAGATCCCAGCTTAAATACAGGGAGCATGAGGCAAGAGCTAATTCTTTGAGGTCTAAGCTCACACCTCAGTAGATAAAATGGGACAATTTTGGTACTGTAAGCATGAAACAGGAATTTGGCCTGCACACATGGATTTAGCAGAGCTTTGTAAACATTTTGTTTTGTTTTGTTTATCTTCTGATTAATATGCTCGTATCTGTTACTTTAAATAACTGGCACTGCAGGCAAAACACATGCATGTGGGACGAGATGACCTTTAAAGAAATAAGAGTTGAGTTGTCATTATTATGTGGAAATTGCAGGGAAATGCCTTGGACAGTAGTTGCAACATGGAAATGTCCCATCTGCTTTTACAATCTTCACTGTAAATGATGTACACTTGGACAAGCAAGTATGAATTTATCTTCTTGGAAAAAAAAGCTGAAACTATACAGTAGCCACCAAAAGCAGATTGCAAAACTGAGGATATGTATATGAATCATGCCGACTTGGAATGACTGCAGTTACTCTTGCTTGCCTGGAAAGTGGCTGCTCATAGGACATACGTTTTAAAAAGAACAATGAAAGATTGCTTGTGAAAACTAACCCCCCCCCCCCCCCCCCCCCCTTCAGAGCTCACTAAAAATGCTTGCTCTCTTACAATTTTTTTTTTTTATTATTTTTTTTTTATAGATGGCAACCAGTGCAGCTCAAATCCTTGCCACTATGGCGGACAGTGCAAGGATGGAATTGGTTCCTACACTTGCTCCTGTTTGGATGGTTATCAAGGCAAGAACTGTGAATTTGGTAGGTTTCTCCTTCAAAGACCTGTGGCAGTGAGTTTACCGGGTTGCAGAACCATAGGGAGTTAACACTCCCTTAACAAAGATTAATTTCCTCTTAGAAAAATACATAGAATAGGGTGGCAGTCAACAGTGAGCTGAAAGGCAGTGCCAGAAGCAGAAAGCCTTCAGGCTCTACAGCTGGATAGCATTAGCAAGTGCTCCAAATTCACACTTCTTCCAAACAAAACCCTCTTAAGTATGAGAGTGCCTCTTCACATGAGCTTGAACACCCAAAATATGGCAATAAAACTAAGTTATAATATATCATTATAACTGATATCATACCTTGGACTCCAAGCTCAGGAGTACAGCATCTCTGCTCAGCTCACAGCAGTGAAGAACCAAAGAAAGCAGATCTCAGTAGACAATGCAGAGACTTTTTCAGCCTTGCAAAGAATCCTTTTCTTTCATAGCAATCTTTCCTGAGTCTCACATCTGTGCCCTACAGCTACTTTCCTAATGATGTAATGATGTCACTGGAGCATGTATTGGTTGCCCAGAAGAGTGGAGGGTGTGGAACTGAAGTTAAGAAACAGGACAGAGGGGAATGACGAAGAGCTGATCTTTTTAGGGCAGGAGGGATGAATCATGCGAGGATTTATCAGTAACTGCACCTTCGTGCTAGCGCTTTTTGGAGCTCACTGTGATGTGGTCACTGTGTGCACATGGGTTTACCAAGTATGTTTCGTGCAGTGGATGTGGTTGCTTTGTAAGGCATACGCAAAATTTCGCCACTCTTGCTGTTACCCATTTTAATGGGTTTCAAGCATTTTACAGGGGAACTACAGATCCTCTTTGAAGAGTGCAATTTATTTTTGTTAGATCTGCAAAGTCAGTGTTTACTTACAGGTTTTTTTTTTTCAAACTTACCTCTTTTATAGTCATACCAAAGTACTGCAAAATAAACAACGGTGACTGTGAGCAGTTCTGCAGCATCAAAAAAAGTGTGCAGAAGGATGTTATGTGTTCCTGTGCGAAAGGATATGTTCTAGCAGAAGATGGCAAACACTGTGTTTCATCAGGTACAAAGTCACATGATAAACTAATAGCAATACTGGTGAGGCTTGTTTTAGTTAAAGAATGTGTTTTGAACCATCAGTGTTGTACATGGCATAGATTTAAGACTGAGGCCAACCAGCTGGTTTGTATTTTTGAAGTCTTCCATGTGTGAGGTGATATGATGGACTTCTCAGAACCTAGCTGACTGAGAACCCTTTGCAGGGTGCCTCTCACAGAATTTCCTGAGGAAATAAAGTGAAGAGCTATCGCTGTATCTTGTTTATTTGAACACGAATGCTCCATATAAAATAGCAGCTCACAAAAATGTTTCTACTTCTGATTTCAGTTAACCTAATCAAATAGTAACTGCTGACATTAAATAGTTAAGATTGACGCTGTTTGAAGTGTTCTAATTGTTCCAAAAAATGGGGAAAGAGGGATGAGTCAACGGTATGCTCCTGACTTTGTTTTTTTATATCCTTTACAAGTAATGATGAATTGCCGTCATGAGCCATATTCCTAAAATAGAACACTCAGTTTCCTAATTAAGATGGTTTTAATAAGAGCTAGTACACGAATATAGCAATGTAAACAATAGAAGGTGACTTTAAATACTTTGGAAACACTGTCCAGAGACTGAGCCTACAGAAGAGTTTTAGGTGTAGCAAATGGGTTTCATTTTTCCAAACCATCTGGTCTTTTTTTTGCATCTGCCTAAGCTTTGTTAGTCTTGAAAACAGCTGCATAACTTATTTATTGTGAGATGGTGTTGTCAAGGTTCATCTTATGTGGGTCTTTCTTCTCTAATTGTAGTATTATTGTCTTTACAGTACAGTACCCTTGTGGAAAAGTTTTTGTCAAAAGAAAAAAAAGGTCTGTTATTTTACCCACTGAGAGTAGCAATGTAACTAGTGAGCAGGATGGCCTCTTCCCAAATGGAACAAGTCTGGAGGAGGAGGAGATTGTTACTACCACAGAAAGCCCAACCCTCCCTCCTCGCAACGGATCGAGTATCAAGACTCCCTATGTGGATACCAGGATAGTAGGTGGTGACGAGTGTCATCTTGGCGAATGTCCATGGCAGGTAAATCTGGGGTCTGTGTTCTGCATGTAACCAGCATGTGTTTCTGAGGGAAGCTCTGCAATTGTTCATTTAACCTGTTTGCCTTCTCTAGTACGCTGTTTGTAGCTGGAGTTGCCTGAGCTGTGTGAACTTGGGCATTTAGGTGTATTGTTTTGCAAACTGCAGCCTTAAAATATCAAAATGAAAGGTTTTATGCCACTTTAGGTGGTGCTGCTTTTAACCTGTAACCAGACAGGACTTTTGAGTGATGCTGGCCCAGCTTGTGTTCCAGTGCTGTCCAGCCATAAGCTGCTTGTTCTGGCAGAGTTGTCCTGCTTCTGCTTTTCTTTGCCATTCTGCTCAACCTTTCTAAGGCACAATGACTTCCCTTCTCTGTTTCTCTGAGTGAGGTGCATCTTGGTGCTTGGTGCTTGGGGTGCTTGGTGCTTTTCCATGTTGATCTGCTCATTCACTGGGGCCACTGCTCTAATAGTCCAATTCTGTATGGGAATAGTGTTGTGTAGATCTAACACAGGTAAGAGGAGGTGCCCAGGGTAATGCTGGGCACAAAGCTTAAACCCTTTTAGCAGGTTCCTGATCTATGGCTTGGAGAGCACTACCCAAGCTTAACTAAATCAACTTTTAGCTGCAAAAGCCATGACCTGGCAAAGTTGTGCATATGCTGAGGAGGTTATTTTCAGACTCAGAGCCTCTGTTTAGCCTGGAGTTATGCTTGCTTGTTCTCAATCTGGACTGAGTACTTAGAGGTGTAAGTTTGGACAAGATCCCAGTGCTAGATGAAGGTGTAGAACCACATGCTGTTTGCCTTTGTCCTGCACCCTTCTTCCCTGTCCTCTAAGATAGCAGTGCCTTTAGGCAGTATACCCGACAGCTTGTCAGAGACAACACTCATTTGCTTCACAAATATGCTTTCAAAACTAAGTTTTCCTCTTGAGTTCAGACCAGCCAAAATAAATTCCCGTCTTCTGCACACCTGGAGGGTCAAACAGGAACAGAACAGGGACAGGAATTCTTTGGGGTAGTAAATCCCCCAGGATGGGGTGATTTGGGAACTGCATGCTCCTTGCTCAGTCAGTCAGCATCTGGTTCATGGAAGATTTTACTAAAAAGGTGCACTGTGAGGTGAAGAAGTTAAACCTCTATGTCGCATAAAGATAGCTGAGATTCTCTAACAGTACATACCAATCTGTAGCAAATGCACATCTGTATACAGGACCAGGAGAAATCTGCAGAGTGGTGCATACGTGCTGCTGTATTATGCATATATGCAGTCTGCAGAGAAAGCAATTACCTGCTTATAGCTCATTGAAGTTAAACTGCTCTTTTTAATTCTGCACTTACCCTTGTTTTCTCCCACAGGCTGTTCTGATCAATGAGAATGGGGAAGAGTTTTGTGGCGGAACTATTCTGAATGAAAATTTCATCCTTACTGCAGCTCATTGCATGAACCAATCCAAAGAGATCAAAGTTGTTGTTGGTAAATGGCTACTTATTTTGTTCCAGTGATGTCTGAGCATGTGTTGCAGACTAATTATCTGGGCTCTAAAACCCATGTTAGATGTACTCATATCACTTTATTTATTATTAGTGTTGTTGTTGTTCTGCTTTCTACCCCTTCCTGTTATTGCAGGAATCCTGTTTTGTAATCACTGGGGCAGCTGATCTAGAAGGTGATAATGGTGCATCCGTTTCTTCTTTGCCAGATAGTTGGAAAGGATTAAGAACAAATATTCTAGAAGTATTGGGTAGCACTGCACTCATCAGAGCAGTGCTTCTTCAGGAGGCTCATAATTTTTCCTTGCAAGCGTGAAGCACACTGACTTGTTTCTAGAGGAACACTCAGGAAGGCTGTGACACACTGGCTAGAGGAAGAAACTTGCTCACATTAAGTCACTGCTTCAGTTCTGAGGCATGATAATAGATCAACACAACTTTGTGTTTGCACTGTTTTAGTCCTGACCCTGAACAGATTCTCTTCCCTGACAAAGATCTGGCTCAAGCATCTGTAAGAGCTTCCACCCCTATTTGCATTAGTTTAGCTGAATAAGTTTATGCTGATTTACATAAACTCTTACAGAAATCCCCATTGACAAACCTTGAAGCTGAAAATGCATCCAGGTGCTGCTGATAAGTATTGCAGTCCACTCTTACAGTTTACTTGTCAAGTACAAAGTCTTAGGAGAAGTGGCAGCAATGGGAATACTCATGTCCTCTTTTATCAAGTCTTTATTTCTTATACTATCTCCGTATTAATGACCCTTTTAATTACAGGTGAAGTGGATAGAGAAAAGGAAGAACAGTCTGAAACAACACACACTGTGGAAAGAATACTTGTTCACTCTAAATACATCGCCGAGACTTATGATAATGACATAGCCCTAATAAAGCTGAAGGAACCTATAGTACGTTCTAAGTACATTATCCCAGCGTGCCTCCCAGAAGCTGACTTTGCTAATGAAGTTCTGATGAACCAAAGGTCTGGGATGGTTAGCGGCTTTGGGCGTGAGTTTGAAGGTGGAAGACTTTCCAAAAAACTTAAAGTGCTTGAAGTCCCCTATGTTGATAGGAACACTTGCAAGCAATCCACTAACTTTGCGATAACAGAGAACATGTTCTGTGCTGGTTATGATACAGAGCAAAAAGATGCTTGTCAAGGAGACAGTGGAGGCCCCCACGTAACCAGATACAAGGATACTTACTTTGTTACTGGAATTGTTAGCTGGGGAGAAGGGTGTGCAAAGAAGGGCAAATACGGTGTCTATACCAAACTGTCCAGGTTCTTACGCTGGGTAAGAACAGTCATGAGACAAAATTTGTAGCAACGCGGTTCTCAATCCTTCTGTTAATGAACAGGGTGCAGTTTCCAGTTTCTCTAATGGAAACTTCATTCTTTTTTTTTTTGTTGTTTTTGTTTTTTTGTTTTTTTTTTTTTTTACCCACAACTGCTAAATGAGCTATTTGCTCAAGAGATTCCACCAGAGGTTCCTGGAAATAATACAAACCCCCACTAATCATGATGAAAGTGGGAAGACCAGGACTTTAGTCCTCTAGTGACGTGTACTGCAGCCAGCTGGCTCAGTAGGGAGTTTGTTCCTACTAGAGTTTTTTAGCTTCTACTTGTGGATGTTTTTAGAAGATGAAGGGAGCATGGAAGCTTCCTTCCAGGCAAAAGCTGAGACACAAGTAAGTATTCATTATGTGTTGCTAAATAACCACATTTCACAAAACTGCCTGCTTAGGTCACAGCAGCTAAATAAAATGTGGTTTTGCTTTTTATGGATTGTATTTCACTCTAGTTTAATTTGAACACTTGTTTTCTGCTCCTTCAGAAAAAGAAAAAAAAAAGAAAAAAAAAAGTGCATATTCACTGTTTCCTGTATCATGATCTGGATTGTGTATGG